TCTGAGATAGATCGAGACAAAAAAAAAGAGACTAGGAAGAGAGATGAGGTATAAAGATATTGAAAATCGAAGAAAATAAGAGGAGTGGGGGAGTATAAGAGTATTAGATAGAAACAAGTAGTAAGGTTTTGAAGTAACTGGAGAACCAAATCGTAAGGATATCCCGACCGCTACAGACACTGAGAAGCATAGGGACGTGATGACGTCAATTTGACGACAAAGTTGGTTGACCTAATGGAGCAGTGTAGTGCACTTTCTCCCTAGTCCTAGCCGTAGTGGAGTGGGCTAATTTGAAATGTAGACAGATGCTTGTTGCCGTATCAGTTTCCCACGGTGCCAAGTTTGAAGGAGGAAACAACTGGGGGAAACATATTTTTGTTTTGCCAAATGAGATGAACGATAGCCTAATGTACACCACAAATATTTACCTTTTCTTGATACAACTTAGCAATACATGAGGTGGTGCCGAACATGATAACACGTCGGGGGAAACATGGTTTACAATAGAAAGATGAATGCACTTATATGTTAAACATGCTAAACGATAAGAGGATTAAAGGATATCCATAATCCATTTGCAGGAGGTATTAGCTAGTGGCTTATTTTGTACGACATAATTATTATGAAATAATCAATATCCTAAATTATTAAGTGGGAAGGGTAAGGGGCATGAGGTTCTAATCTGTTCGTCGCTTCTCCAATTATTAACAGGTTTTGGAGAATGCTAGTTTAAAAACGAATAACACACGTTCCTTTTAATGTTACAGTTCGGGGATTTTTCATGCTCCAACAGCCCTCTCTCAAACGCCACCCACTTCTAAAAGCTGTTGAAAATGACTCCCGTGGTTTTTCCCCATTTTTTGTTCGTTTCCCTATAAAGTTTAAGCTCCCCCGTGTCACCACAGATGTATCTGTAACTATTATAATAACAGAAGGAGTAATTATAAACGTTTACAGGATGATCAATAAATGAAAAATGATCACTAGCCTAGCTTGCAACGCCTTTGTACATCACCACGATACGGATCTACGGTAGATATGAACTTAATGAGTGTGGGTCATTATTATCTGTCACACGCCCCTTTTGTGTAATTATGTCGTCATTGTTACTTAATACTCCATTAAAGTTAGGACTAATGCCCATATCATAAGCTGTGCATCCTTGTACCCCCTCCACATTTCTCTCTCTCTCTCTCTCTCTGACTCCCCATCCGCACCTCTTCTTCCACGCTCCTATCTCCATGTTCAGTTTATCTTTATCTCACTATCTCTCTTGATATATCCACTCTCTATCTCTCTCATCCTCCTTGAAGTTGTTTTCGTTTTCCATTTCTTCAAATCTAAGAAAGATGTTCGTGTTGATTTGAAATCTGCATGTCTCTCTCCATTTTATCTTTATCTCACTATCTCTGTTTATATCTCCCTCTCTCTATATATCTCTCCCTCTATATTTCTCTCTCTATCTCTCTCATCCTCATTAAATTGTCGTGTTTATTTAAAATCCACACGTCTCTCTTTCTCTCTTTCCCTAGACAATGTTCATCTGTTCTGATTACATGACTCTATCAATTTCTTCATTCACCATTCTCAATTAAAAAATATCAATATCTACTATTTAGAACAGTTAGCATGTTTAAGCATTTATTTCATATGGATTAAAAAACACATAACTAAACACACTACTTACAAGCAAAGACTTTGTTTAAACAAAAATTGTTTTCTCTAGTGTGGTTTTTGAAATGTAAAAACAGCCAAGCATATCAATCTTTTATCCAGAAGTTAGGATCTTGTTCTCCAATGGAATACATCTTACATGTAATAGATTTCATAATATACTTTTAGTTTTGTGCATTTATTTATATGCCATTAAACCTTGCCTCTTTCCAGCATACATAATGTTGATGTACAGTACTTATGACTATTAAAATTTAAAACATAAAAATAGATGAAAAAACAAAACAGTCAATTGTTAACTGCATGATTTCATTCTTATGTTCATCACATAGGAAAAAAACACTTCACGATAATCAGAGAGTATTGCACACTTTGAAGTCCTACAGAGATTTCATTACAATTGGCAAAATTACAAACTTTGATACCTCGAAATATAGTATGTGAACAGTATGACTTTAAAACAAAGATCCTGATTTTTTGATAATTTCAAATCAGGCTCAAGGATTACCTTCAAGCAATACAGCTTCCTATTGTCTACCCTACAGACAATTCAATTCAAATCTGTTTCATTATTCATCTAGAAACCTAATTGAGAGCAGTCCATCCTACATAATAAATGAGAAAACTTGCATCAAACAAAGAACAAAACAGAAAAAAAGACGCTGGACCCGTTGTACCATTGTCCTTGGCATGCAGTGCAAATGTATTCAATCGACTATCCATCGACAGGGCCCCATTTCACCGAACTTGTCATCAGTGACAAATGACAGGTTTTGTTTTTAGCTAGAGATATCCTCGCTTCTGATTGGTTATCAGCAGATATGTCACTAATTTTTATCATTGAAAAAAAGCTTTGTGAAACAGGTCCCAGGTCTGGATAATGAAAAGTGGGCTAGTTTAATAATCAACCTTTCTTGCCTATATCTCGAGACTACCGGCTGAGTCAACAAATCTTCTCTAGGACTCAATAGACAAGGGACAAGATATAATTTTTTGTTCATCCACGTACATTTCTGCTCTATTAAACAGAGATTGTGATGATCAAAGTATTAACTCACCTGTTACGACTCTTTCGACAATATTACTATAGATATAATATAGAAACATCCACTCAAAGAAAGTGCCTTTTTTTGGCATGCCATAATAGTCGATGAACATCTTGTAATGCAAGTACTTATAGCATGGTGATCACTGATCACTACAACATTTTCCATCATATTACGATTCCCTTTACAGTATAAAAAATTGTTTGAGAATACAGTAAGATACTAAATTACTTTATCTTAAATGTGTATAGTCAGACCCCCCCCCCCCCTGCACATCAAGGCATATTATTAGGCAAAGAGTTGATTGATATCATCATCTTTATCAACATCTTTTGTTATTTTTTAAGTCTTCATTTTCATCATATTACTCTTCATATCTATAATGCTAACATTACAAAGTTCCTAACTACATTTAGGACTGAATTAGCATTAACAACATGTTATCAATCATAAATAAGACAGTATTACACACACATACATATACAATTTTGCAATCATAAATTTTCATCATTAAAATGACATATCACTTGTATAACCATTTGTCTAACCTAAGGACTTTGCTCCTCCTTTACCCAGCCTAAAACTGGTCAGGTAAAGAAAAGAAAAAATTCTACAACAAATTTATGCAACATTATTAACACTTTGGTTGCTTTCTGCACCTCTTCATGGACTTTTGTTTGCCACACATGCAATTTTGCACAAAACAATAGGCACCGATAGAGAAAGGATTTCTTTATGCAACATAATGGCTTTGCAAAATTACCCATTTTTACCCGTAGCTCCATGACAACCCTCATAACACCAATATAAATTAACCTTGCACTGGAAACATTTACATACTATCAAAGCCATTGGTTTATCTATCCCAGGAAAACTACAATGTGGCACAGGGAGATTATTTGTGTGGCACTTGAGGGTTAATTAGACAAGCCTGTATAAAGACTTTGGTTACCCATGCAATATACTACAGTTTGTCATCAATGATAAATTGAGACATGCAAATTGTACACATTCACTTGCATTCCAGGCCACTTGATATACCTCAATATATAATAGGGATTACTCTAATTCCAAAGATTTACAAGCAAACCAATTTACATCTTGCTAAATGAGACAAGAAACCCCCAAAGTCCTACATGACAAATACTGGTGAGATATAAGATATGAGAACCAGTTCATTTTAGTCACCTCACACACAATTTGATCTTTACCATATCCATTTTAACAAGATGAAATTTGAAACCTAATTATAAAGTAGAAACCCTGCCAGGTACTATGAGGGTACAACATATATTATTCATATATTATAAAATGTGAACTTATCGATATTAAAATTTCCATTTCTAAAAATGGGATAGCTCACATGTGCATGTAATCATCATCAGTCACAAAATCACAGAAAGAGACATTTTGGTGGTATATCTCTAATGCTTTTTCCAACACAACATGAAAGCCAGTCATTTTTTAAAGAAAAAAAAAGAGAATTTGGACTTTAATACAGAGGCAGACAAAGTGCACTGTATCTCATTTGCATACCACAAGCCATGAGTTATACAAAGCTGTACTATGTTTTCTAAATGAAAATGAGACAATTAATTCAGCACCTATCATATAAAAGTCACATGAAAATTAGTGAAAAGTCACATTCAAAATATTCTGCACAAGACAATGCTTTCTACATCGGCGTATTATGATTAAACATGCATTGGTTGAATGATGAAGCTACTTTGACATTCATTTGTTCAGGATGAAGAAGAAAAGCTCCCAAATAAAGTTGTGAATGTACAGGCTGGGGAGGCTGCAGCCCCACAGAATTTAGAAGTTGGCTAACATTCAAACAACCAGCACGCCACAGGCTAGTCTACTTAGATTTTTTTATACTACTTTTAGTACACTTTTTATACAAAATTACCTTGTATCAATTAGAACGTGTCACATTTTTGCTAACTCACTTCACTTGCTTACAATATTTGGAAATTTGAAAGTTAATATTTGGGCAAGCAAGATCAGATCAGGATCGAGTCGAATTTTGCCTGTACACCTACAGAAGTTGAAGAATCCTCTCTCCCCCACCCACCCCCCCCCCCTCCATATTGTTACAGAGTACTTGGAATTACCATGTAGACATCTCCTTATCTGGAATGAAGTACATTATTTGCAATGCCTCCACTGTTTACCGCAATGCACCATGACGTTCCATGAGTGGTGATTTCTGGAAATATTTACAGCTCTGGCAAAAATACTTGTATTCAATACCCCTTTCATAATGACTGAATTCATATAAAGAGATTGTGAAGCTTTAAAAACAGCTTGTTTCATTGAATTTGATGTTTAAAGTTTACGCTCCCGAATCACAGGCCTCTAAATGGTACATTATCTGCCAAGAGGCAGCAATTTGTTGTGACATGCAGGCAATGTGAAAGGAAAAGGCTCTCACTTGAAAGGTTAAAACGTTTGCTTTCTGCACTTGCTAGCAGCACGCAAAACAAATCTATGCTGCTGGTGATTACATCCTACCCCTTGGTTCGGAGCAATCATGCAATCTTCGCTCCAACGTACACATACATCTGCCAACAACAAAAATAGCAAGATTTGCGGCATTGAAACAATAGATACGAAAGCACGATGCTCACAAATTATGGCAGACTGTATCATACTTTTTTCCAGCCAACATGAAGAGGGTATTGGATGTAAGGTGGAATGAAATCGTAGCACAACCCCATCTCTTGAAAATCTGGGTCTCCACTCCACTTCAGTCTAATTCAAGGTCACTGTCCTCATCTTCTTCCACGTGACCTGGGATGACCTTTGCATCGTCTTTGTTGGGCAGCAAGCCATGCCTGCAGAATAGGGGGTAGGAGAGGAGGGAAGAAGAGGAGGGAGAGAGGGAAAGATGCATTCAGCGTCACATGTAGGAATAGAAAAGAGAAATGTAAAAGAAGTTCAGAAAATAGGTAAGAGGTTAATGTGACACAGACAAACACATGAAAGACAAGAAAGGAGTGGCAGAGAGAGAGAGAGAGAGAGAGGGGGGGGGACAGACAGTTATAAAAAAAAAAAAGAAGAAAGATACAAAATGATAAAAAAGAGTAAAAAGAGAAAAAGGGAAAAAAATGGTTACATTTTGCTCGTTGAATATAATTTTGGAAAATTACTTTGATATTACTCATTGATTCAAATGAAGAAGACACATACAAAACTCTTATATTTGATGAATGACTATTACGAGGACATACAATCAACATGTTTTTTTTTATTGTAAATATGGTATTGAAGCAGGTATTATAAATGTCTGTACAAAACCAACAGCCTTTTTTCTTCCAATATTTCAAGGAAAATCATTTTCTAGGCTTTTGTTTAGAAAATAACTCTATTTACTGAATAAGAACTTTTCAATAACCTTTCACTTTAACCATTTCTTCATTCATTTATAATTACTTGACTTCAAACTACGCTATTATTATTATTCCTATATCCTAAACATGATGTTTTTAGGTCTACTTTTATTTTTCATGTATGCATATTGTACTCCCATCAGTTTCCACACTGATAAATTTGTATGCCATTTTCCAATTAATCAACATTAATATAAAAATCACTTATTCCAATTATGTATTTCAATTATTCAAATCTCATCTGAAAGTTAGAATGCACTTAGGTACAATTGTCATTCTCTTTGAAGAGTAAAATTCATTATTCATGAGGATATAATTACATGAATTATAGATGTCAAACAAATTTACACATTGACTCAGTTTCAATAAAAATTAAAATGTGATCTTCTTGTACACCTCATTTATGTTAACAGAAATGCAATCCGCACGTACTAAAAATGCAAAAGTTCCAATAACAATAACGACCAAACATTCTATACTTCTCCTCCTGTTTAACATTGATCATGCCCCTCAACAGAAACCCAAGGGGTGAAAATAGAGCAGATGAAATTATCGAGGCACACATTTTTATAATTCAGACTCATGAAAGAAGGACAAATTTGTTCAACTCTTGAAATATTCACAATCATGGTCTGAAATGTGGGACAAGGCTCATGGGAAAAACAAAGAGGGAAACGTGAAAAAACCAGTCCAACGGATGGAGCGTTGAATAAACAGGATTGAAATGCTATCCTGCTGAAATAAATACATCCACCGTTCAATTCATCTTTCACTTCTGGTGAGATGCGAGGGAAGATTACAAACAAATCAAAATCAATTTTCAAAGTCTGCATGGTAACAGAGGGCATTATCGTCTGCTGAGTGCCAGAAGGGCGTTACTCCTTGCTGCAGGATAACAATGAGCACCTTTCTGGCTCTTACATGTAGCAGACGACTCATAAGACCTGTCCTCATCAGCTCGAGATTGCCAAATATCCCGCTATTTGAACTATACCGATCGCAAATTATCCAGTTAATTTGCGTCCTCATCAGCCCGAAGTTGCAATTAGCGGGATATTTGGTCAAAATAATCATCCTAGTTTGCAAAATATCCCGTTATTTGTCCGGTGCGTCCTCACCAGCCCGAAGACTTGCACTATTGGCAAACGCTGAGCAAAATGTCTCGAGCTAATTTCTTGAGCTCGAATTTCAAGGTTTGAGGTCAAGTCTCGAGCTGATGAAGACGTGATTTGTAACTTCTGGATTATTTCCCAAATCACAAAAAGCGGGCTATTTGGCAATCTCGAGCTGATGAAGACGGGCCTACTGTGTGTCTCTTGCCTTATATCGGTCATACTGCTCAATAAAAACAACACTGCACAATATTTCCAAAGTTGCACCGATAGAGTATGTGGTATTATATGTCTTTCTCTGAAGCCATCTAATATATGCATGTCTCTGAGGAGTAATTGAACTTTATGAAAGTAGAGCTTTAATACTAACCAGTAACCACTTCCTCTATCCACAATTGAGCCTCACAGAAACGATGATTCTAAACCATTGTCAAAAGATTGTGCACGTATGGATTTTTTCTTTCAAGAAGCAATACAAATACACAATGTTATTCAAATACCTTTGTACAGCGTTTACTATTTAGTCTACTTAACTTGGTTTTATACCCAATTTGTTCAGATTCATAAATGATAATTTTGCTTCTGGTTGAAGAAAAAAACTGCAAAGAGATGGCATATTGAAAGTGGGAAAATACAAAGAATCATACATTAAACAGATAAAACATTGCTTTGGAAAATGCTTAGCATGTCTTTCAGATCAGCTTGTTCTTCCCTCTATTCACTAGAGACTAATCATTTTCATTGCCCCATAACTCCTGAAATTGAGAATACGACAGAGAGGAAGAATAAACTCATCGTGCCTACATGTATGGTATTCGACAAAACCAACAATATTATATGGAACGCCAGACGATTATTTTATTGAAATGGATGCGGAGAGGGGCAGCTGTTTCAACAGATGGAATGCATGATTTTTTTTTATTGCATCTATGCACACCACTTTCATAGAATACCAATTGATGCTTATCCCAGCATCCATATACCAGTACCTTGTTTTGCTCTGCAGTGTTTTGCTGGGTGGTTTTTTTCCCATTTCTATCTCACTCCGTTTTCTATTTTTCTTCTTCTCTTTTGTTTTTACTCAACTCTCTTGTTTCAAAATTCAAATGCTTCTCTAGAGACATCAAATATGCTGGAAAAAAATATCATGCTCTTGCTTATAAGTACTAGTCATGGAAATTACCCTATATAAATGTTCTTTCTCCTTCTTTTTCTCTTCGAATCTTTCATCACTATTACTTGCTTCCTTACAATTTTAAGCTAAACACCCTGTCTTATTTTCTTTCATTTTTGTTCTCATTACACAAGGAGCTGTATTAATTACTTGATTAATCTCATAACTTCTCTTTGAAAACTGCTCTGCTTTACATGTATCTAATTTCATTTTGATTTCATCTTCACCTTTCCATTCTCTTATTCTATGTATTTGTTTTATTCTACTATTTACGATCAGATATAGAAAATGAAATAGGACTGTTCAGATTTCACAATCTCCTATTACAGGCAACAGGATGAATTCAGAAATACATCCATGTGTTCAGTATTATATAAAAAATCTATAGCTCAAAATGTGTAATACGTATAAGGAATAAAAAAAGAGGTGCGTATGTGCAAAACAAATTGTAAACGAAATAAACATAACCCAAAACAGATAATTGCAACATTATTTTTTTTGTTGGGGGGGGGGGGGGGGCTACAAGAACCAAATCGCTCAGCAACAATTTTTGTTTCTTTGATGCCTGGAAAGTAATATATCATGAAGTATAATCACAATCAGGTATATCCTTCATTGAATTTATACAAACATATACATTCCTGTTTACTCCAAACAGTGAACAAACCTTTACCCACAACATGTAAATTGGAGTCCCTATCTCATAAAAAGTATTTCACAATTTCCCAGGAGTGATGAATTTTGACATTGTTAGATTCCTGGCTCCATATATATGAGTACCAAACATAATTTTTTCAAAGACAGGAAGAGGGGGGGGCAGAGCGAGAAAGACTAAGAGAGAGAGAGAGAGAGAGAGAGAGAGAGAGAGAGGGGTCAGAGAGAAGGGAGAGAGATCTCCAATGTAACAGTAGCTGAATTTAGAAATCAATGTTGTTATTCAGGGATATGACTATGAGAAGAGCGAGATATTGCTTGCTGTCAATGAATTATTTCAGGCAGGTCGAACTTGAGATGTTATACCATGACAGGTAATTTATTTGCATTATATGTGCTCTTTAACGTGTGAGTAGATCATGTTTCATAACTGTAAAATATTGCATGTCTTTTGTAACGGCAAGTATGACATAATCATCCTTTTTGTGATAGATCAGCATTTCAATATTTGAAGTTATGAAATCCTTCAGAACATGTACAGTATATTCTTGTACTTTGTACTTAAATTGATCATTAGTTCAGAGCCAGAAGGGCATTAACTCTGTGTTAAATTATATGAGTTAAGGCCCTTTTGGCTCCAACAGATGATGTAATTTTTGTTGTTCCTTTCATCGAAATGCATCCCATGGATATAACAAGCAAGGTATAACAAATCAAATTTTGAAATAAGAAAGATTTGGCAAGAACTATATTTTACAGACAAAATTGTTCGAATGCTCACTACAGCTTCATAAACATTCCCTTTGTGCTCTTCAGATTAAAAAGATCTAATGCACTTTATTTTTCTTCAAAAGAGTACACTTCAAATACATCATTCAGAAATATACACACATTGTACTTTTTTGTTTCTGTGTCAGTTCCACTTCCAAGTGCTACATTAGTACATGTGCATCTGAAATTGGATGATGCATTGAATCAATTTTCTAAATTCCACCATCAGTCAGAACGTCAATTATCATTTAGCAAGGGCATGCATACATTGCAGAAGAAAGACGGAGATAGAGGTGAAAGATTCTGAACGTCTGTGAGAATTATGACGAATCGTTCGTAGCAATGAGAATCAAAATCGATTTACGAAAATTGAATTTCTGTTGAAGCACTTGTAACCAATATTACTATATTTATTATGATGACCTCATCATCATAATCATGAATTATATCAGAGTAATAAACTCATGAATACATGAAATGATTTTGGTAGCTATAATGAACAAAAAAAGAGGATTCATTTCCCCCTTTCTTTCCTTTATTCTTTCATTCTTTCTTTCTTTCTTTCACTTACAACCCCCTTATACCGTACTCATTACCATTTATATTGAACTGGAGTGGAACTGCAAGACGATTTAATATAAGTGGGTCGGGGGTAATTTTAAATAGAATCAATTAATGATAAATTGACCATATCTTTTTCTGCTACATAAACTCTAAAAAGATCTGGAGCAGAGTTTTTCAACCGGGATGAATCTCTAGGGGTGCAGCGAAATAAGTTGGTAATGATGTCTATTTCGTGAAAACCTAACATGAGAAACCGCTACAGTATGTAATTTTATGAGGAAATAACGATTTATAGATATTATCTCCGCTCTCTCGCAAAATTCAGAAATAGGATGGTTTCAGACAGCAAAGTGCCTGAATACCTCCCTATTTGGGCAAAGACTCGTAAGTGCCCGAATATACCTTATATCTTTTCTATCAAAATGACATTGATATCATGCTCATTGGCTTAACTTGCTTGCAACATTTAGAATAATAATTCTAGGTTGCAAATGCCTGAATATCTATCAAAACGTGTATTGAGATTTCCAATTTTTACAATTTTTGTATTCATGGACATTCAGCGGCAAAGTACCTGCAAAAATTATTTTATTTGTTGTGTTGATTAAAAAATGAATTTTTTTTTTTTTCGATTGCTCACAAACTTTAAAAACAAATGTGCCTGTACGTAGGTACATGGCACTTGATATAAAACTTTTTATTTCTTAAAATAGTGCTGTGACTAAAGAAAAGTTGAAAAATGCTGTTCTGGAGTACAATACAGACTTTCCTCTAATTTTCAACACCAGATTGACCCCCCAAAAAAGTATATGGCAGATAAAAGGAAGTACCACACATGTATAATAAATACATTTTCCTAAATCATTGAAAATGCATGCTCCATTTGAAACATTTAGTTCCAATGATCACGCCAAATTCTTGGTGACACTTTCCTAATAGATGCATTAAAGTCGAGATACAATTCAGTAGACTCATCTTTCACTTTGAAACTGAATAGGTAAGCAGAATTTCCCATATGTTCTGTTGATATCACCATAGAAACTAAGCATAAATGACCTTATACACGCAACCCACACTACACCCAATTATGTTCATCTCATATCTCACAAGTCATTTATTCTATATTCATCCCTAAATACAATTAGATTTCAATTCAAAATGACATCCATACATATTTCATCTCATGTCCTCTCCTATAAGTATAAATAAAATTAAGAGGAAGATATCTTGTTTGGAGCCAGAAGGGCATTAACACGTACACTTCAACACAGCAATAATACCCTTCTGGCTGTGAATGGTCGATATGGCCATGAAAGGTCCCAGGGTTCGCGCACTTCCGTAAGTGAGGGGAATTGTGCTAAATACATCTCAGAAGAATCCAGTTAATGACAAAGAAGTAGGCCAACGGACCTTGCAGACATAGTCAGCTATTCTCCATGAAGAATAGATGACATTGCTCTAATTGCCGGCCTACATCCTCATCTGGAGTAATTGCATTATAGCATCTTCCATAAGTACATCCAAGCATGTTACCAGCTGATGTTTAAGAGGGGTGGGATTTTTCCCCTTCTTGAACTGATCATAAAGCAGAACCTTTTCTAGTTGGTTAAAAATCCCCCAAAGTTTGTAACATTGTAACAAACAAAAAATTAAGAAGCTCTTGTGCAATTAATCACATGAATTTTTTAAATATTATTATTTATTTCTCAATTTTTCTTGAGGGGCACTTTTGCTGGAGAATGCCCTTGAGGATTTTGACTCATGCCAGCTTAACCTTGGTCATCAATAAAGACTTATAAAGGAACAGCAATAGCAACAACCATGTGCATCCTCTCAAAGTACAAGAGCGAGCACATGAATAATATCATCTTCCTCTGCTGTGTGTTTTAGAAAGTTCTGCAAAAGTATGTACTGCTCATGCATTTCATAAAAATTGCAAAGATCATTACTCACTCTTGTAGGAAACTCTCTACTTCTGTAGCGAAAAAGTCTTCACCAAACACATCCGAGACTCTGATGAAGTTGCCGATGAGTTGGCCTGCTTTGTAGACTAAGAGAGCAGGGAGGCCTTTCTCTGTCTGTCGTAAAGAAAAGTTGAATTATGAGAATTAATCAGCAGTAAAAAAAATTGGTATAAAAAATGGTTTTCCATCCCATTCCCTCTGTACTTCTCAAATATTACCCTTATTGATTTTGTGGTCTTGTTCTCTTTTGTAAATTATAATCTTACATCTTTTATCATTCTCACATTATTTTGTTGGTGTTTGTCCTATATATGTAAACCCCATCTTTCATGCGCGATAATCTGCTGCAGCTAAGGAGGGGAAGCAAGAAGAAGATGAAGATGGGGAAAAAGGAAGAAAAAAAAAGAAACATAAGTACAGTACACGCCGAAAATCTCCGCAACACGATTACACGATTTATTTTTAGGATTACACGGTTTACACGATTCACCTGAATCGTGTAACTGTGTAATCGTGTAAATTTACACGATTGAAGAATGTCGCTCTGAATCGTGTAATCGTGTAAATAGTTAAGTGCGTTGGTCGGATGATTCGACCAGATGCAACAATCGTGTAACTGTGTAATCGTGTAAATTTACACGATTGAAGAATGTCGCTTTGAATCGTGTAATCGTGTAAATAGTTATTAGGGTTATAAGGGCATTGGTAGAACGATGCGACAAGCTGCAACAATTGTTAAATCGTATCCTGCTGACACCAATTGCTTTATACACAACTTACCTTCAGTGTACATCAGTTAATTACTGTACTTTATATTCGTGTATATAAACCTCAGCACTTTCCACTAACATGTATCGTATACTAATCCGTGAGACAAGGTAGGAAAACGTCAGAAACAGGAAGACAGATGAAATAGTAAAGGAAAAAAAGATAGCTACGAGGAGAAGGGAACATATAAAAGGAAAATGAGGGTTGGGAGGCACGATAAAGATAAACAGAAAAAATTATGCAAGAGAGAAAAATGGGAAAACTAAAAAGTTGACCGGAAGAAAAGAAAGAGTGAAATAGAGTGATAAAAAAAAAAGGGCGAAACATAGTAAAATTAACAGAAATGAGAAGGCTATGAAACGGAGAGGAAAAGAGACAAATTAATAAGGTAAGAGGGGAACATAATGAGGGAAAGAGAGGCGAGAAAGATATGGGGGAACGGAAAGATATTGAAAGAAAGGGAGAGAGTGAGAGAGAGAGAGAAAGAGCGATAAAAAAGCTTTAGTTGAAAGAAAAGGGGCACCGATCAGATTTTAATAGGGGCATTTATCGGAGTTGATGGGGGCATTTATCAAAAGTGAAGAGGGGCACTTCTCGTACTTAAAGGGGGATACTTACTAGAGATTAAAAGGACACTAATGAGAATGGAAAATGGACACTTATTGCAAAGGAAAATAGGAACTCGTCGAAGGAAAAGGGGCGTGTGTCAAAAGAAAAGGAGCACTTATCAGAGTTGAAAGGGGAAGGGGCACTTTTACAAATTAATAGGGACACTTTTCAAAGTAAAATAGGTACTTTTCCTACACTCAAAGGGGGCACTTTGGGGGAACTTGAAAACTGTGCCGCTAGCTTAACGTAACTCAAAGACAGTTGGCCATTCACTTATTCTATTCATTCTCGGCTTGCAACTGTTCCCTACACTCTGTAGCCAGTGGCTTACATACTTACGTACATGTAATACCTATTGTTCAGGGGGATCCTATGTTCAAGGGGAACCCCCTGAACAATAGGTATTATGTAAGGATCTCTGCCTGTAGCTAGGGCAACGGCCTTTGTCCCCGGCGAGGGTCAATGGCAGGCCACATTCAGAGTAAGCTTCTTTTGTATGTGACAGGAAGTGTGCCCTTAAGCCTTGACCGTAGCTCTTTATACATATAGCTGAATAATGCAATGTTGTAAAAGGTAATTTACGAAAATGAGGAACGCTAAAAAAGCAATAAGTGATCAAAGTCTAAGGCCCGAATTCACAAAGGAGGTATGTCGTCAAACCTTGGTTTTTGTGCGTCATATGACGCGTTTTGACGCGTTTTTACAAACCAGGTTTGTAAAATGGATAATGATTGAATAAAAAAAAAGTATAACGATATTCATAGTAACGAATGAGCTGGTGAACATAATTCTAATTGGTACAGCCTTGTAATGTAAGAGTATCACAACATACTTAATTATGTTAGCCCTCCTTTACATTTTGTAATCATTTTTACTTATTTACAACTTAGGAATAACAGAATTCCCCCCTTCCTTCGTCGTTCATCGCTTTTTTCTTTTTTTCTCATCGAGGATTAAATCCGAGAGTGCTTTTCGGGAAGTGGACTGATTTTTTTAACTTTCAAACAGTCTATAATAAAACTAGAGACAAGACACTGCAATTAAAAATATATACAAGAGAAAGAAAGCGTAATGTTCGCTATCCGCTCGTATCGTCCACTTGTCCTCGTTCAACCAAGAAGTAACTTCTTGCTTTTACTAAACTAGACATCCTTAACCTGCTCACCATCACCACTGAAAATAAATTGTAACACAATTCCAGCGAGCAATCGAATCGTGTAAATTTTGAATCGTGTAATCGTGTTGCGGAGATTTTCGGCGGGAAGATTACACGATTACACGATTCGACCTGAATTGAGGAATCGTGTAATTTTACACGATTACACGTTTACACGATTCAAATTTCGCTTCATTGGCAAAAAACGAATCGTGTAAAAATAAATGGTTACACGATTCCCGCGAGCAGTCGAATCGTGTAAATTTTGAATCGTGTAAATCGTGTTGCGGAGATTTTCGGCGTGTACTGTAGGAGGAGATGAAGGAGGAGGAGGAAGGGAGAAGTAAGAGAAGAAAAAAGAAGAAGAAAAAGAAAAAAGAAAAAAGAAAAAGAAGAAAAAGAAGAAAAAGGAAGATGGAGAGGAAGAAGAAAATGATGAAGAAGAAGAAGAAGGAAAAGAAGAAGGAAAAGAAGAAGAAGCAGGAGGAGAAGGGTATCTCCTTTGAATGGAAGTCATGCTCTGCAATCACTGTTATTCCTCACTGTCTTCTTTCATCACATGTCTTATGAAATCTATCCTTTTATCTCTTCCACATATCCAATCTTACTCCTCCTTCTTATCCCCACCCTCTCAACCCTAACCCATGCATCCCAAAATACTAAGTGTGCCACCTTCGAGTCACTGCCTTTGTATATTATCACTTCTGTGCCCCTTCCCTCTCTAGGTGAACGATCTCATGTCATTGACTTCTTCTGCTCTTCCATCACTCTTGAAACATTTACTCCCAACACTTGGAATGTTGTGCTAAGTTACATTGAAAGCAAGCACTTTAGGTGACGCGTGATCAATTGCAATGCAAGCGCACACGGAATGCACAATGTGCCCAGCAGCGCAGAGACAACATTATCAATACTACTCTCAAGTTTGCATCTTCTGTCGAGAATTTGTAAAAGCATTTCTGTTTGAACTGTTTGAATGCAGAATCATGTGGTGGTTATTCCATTAACATTTTGTGTCCTACTTCAAACTTCAGCACAAAAGTGTTATCCTTGACAAATCAAATAGAGTAAAGAATTGAAAGCTTGTACATTAAATTTGTGTGAATCTCTTGTTTTACTTTGACATGTTGATGTACAGTGTTTTGTTTTTCTTTGACCTCAAAAGATGTTGTAAAGTATGAAACCCAACTCAGCTAAGTGCTTGCACAATTGTATTACTATGAGCACATATTAATCAATATTAAAAAAATGTATTAAGCTTCCCTTTTACATTTCCCCAGGTATTAATAATCTGTATCTGTCTGTCTCTATCTGTCTTTCTGTCAGCCTGTCTCACTGTCTATCGGTCTCTCCATTTGTCTCCGTCTCTGTCTCTGTCTCTCTCTCTCTCTCTCTCTCTCAGTCTCTGTCTCTGTCTCCCCCTCTCTCTCTATCTGTCTCTGTCTCTCTCTCTCTCTCTCTCTCTCTCTCTCTTTCTCAGTCTCTGTCTCCCCCTCTCTCTCTCTCTCTGTCTGTCTCTCTCTCTCTCTCTCTCTCTCTCTCTGTACGTCTGTATACACCCTTCTGCTCTCTATCCATGGAGGTTTATTGTATAGCAAGCAAAATTTAAAAAAGAGACATCGTTCATATCTGTAAATACCAATTACCAAAATGCACAGTTTTGCATACAAATATGATAAAGATAGTGTAGATATCTAATTTTTAAAAATATTTAAAATATCAAAAACAAAACAAAAAGTTGACAGCAGTGAGATCAATTCGACTTACAAATAACTGGCTGGTCTGAATATCTGCTGCATTAGCTGCGCAGAACTTGACGAAGGGATATTCTTGAGCCAAGCAATGAAGGCATCCATTCATAGACTCACAGGCTTGAAGCGACTGGGAAGTGAAAAGAAAACAAAAAAAAATCATCTCATAAGTGACAGAGTTACTGGCTGGTGATTTCATTAGCATGTTCAAATAGTGATTTATACTGAGGCATCAGTTGATTTACATTTCATCCAAGAGAAGACAAAATGATGTGGAAACAGGGCAACAGGGACCCTAGGAAACAGCTATCAAGATTAAGACGACATCTGAGTAAACAGGTACATGGAGATGTCAACATTTGTAAAGAAAAGAGGTTATTCAGGGGGGGGGGGGGGAGAGGAGAGCATGCAAAAAAAGTAGTGAAAACAACATTATGCGTAGAACATTACACTGCATATATACATAACATAAATATAACAGAATCAATTAAATAACTACATGACACAAGTATTCACAAATGCATGAAGCAGAAAATTAAATTGGACATTTACCCATACATGTAGTTCAAAGAAAAATTATCTTGTATGGATTGATTAAAAACCTTACAACTTACATGACATGTAGATTACAGTAATTACATTAACTGCATTACACTATCACCTTGAAACTTCTTCTACTTCACCATGGAGTAAGGTTATTTCATCTCCCCTCTTTCTCTTTCTCTCTCTCTCTCTCTCTCTTTTCCTCTCTCTCTCTTACTTTCCCTCCCTCCCTCTATTAACACTTGCAGATGTACAGTGTTACATTAACTTAAAGTAAAATTGTTTTAACACTACACATATCAGACTTCATTTGCTGGTCTGAGAAAAAACATCAGAAAATACAGGTTCTGTTAGCAGATCACCGATTCAAAATTGCTCTTAAAAAACACTTTGTTCATTACCAATACTTAAAGTTCATCAATTCATATTTTTCATAAAATCAAATCCACACTGTTTGCACTCATAACATAAAAGATGAGCATTAATAAAAGTTCAAAATCATAAAAAAATACCTTGATTGAATATTTTCAATAACTTTAATCCTCAAATAATTGACTGTTGTAAAAGTCCTAATATGTCTGTAACACTTTAGGCCAATAATTGAATTAGTATTGTACAAACATTTTTTAGTGATTTCATAACATTCAACATTGAACAGAAAATGTAAGCAGCTTTACACCTCCCTCCTTACTTGTAGTTCACAAAATATGGTATGTGCAATTTTCAAATCATATCGTTATGACACCATCATGAGTCTCACATCATAAAAAGAGGAAGGCAGGAATATTATGGTTTGATATCCTAATGAGAAGGTCTACACTTGACTTCACCCCTTTCATTTTTTCATTATCTTTCATCTCCCCGTCCTCTCCGCGTCTCCCTCCATCAAAGGGCATCTATTGTGTCCTGATCAAGCACTCATTCATTAGAAGCAATCAACCTCCAATAGCCTCCACCGGGTTACCATGGAAACCTCAGGTTCCAATATTCACGGAGGCCGAGAGGAATTAAAAAGAGTCCCTAAAATTAGATTTCTGACATCAAACCAGGCAGGCTGAGGTAGAATGCGACGAAACTCATTAATTCCTGTATGTGGTAGTGCCGTGTATAGTCGCAGGGGCTGTATGACGTACAGGTGTATGCTTCTGAGATAATTGTTCTGGATTGATTCCATAAACTGAACTCTGTACCTAACCTTAACCTTAACCTTATACCTAATCTAATACCCAATTGCAACCCCAAGCCTACATGTATATATTTCATGGAATAAAGCCCAAAGCAACTGTCAGCGGTGCAATGGTCGGATCACAGGGGCGCAGGTGCAGGGTGGTTTTCGTGTTGGTATTTCGTGATAATGACAGACTTTGGTTAAGAAGCAATAATTGCCTGAAATGTAAGTTCAAATGTGCATAATCTAATCATAAGCAGTCTCCCCTCAAGTTCATTATGGGTACACACTAGCATATATTTCTCTTGCTACAATAACCTCCACACATCTTGCACAGTGTGTCAGGAATTTTAGGATTGGTGATTACAAAAATTAATTTGAATTAAATCTTATCAAATTAATTTGATATCAATTTTTAGACATTACAATTACAAATCATTACTATTAAAAAAGCAAGGATTATGAAGTGCACACATACAATGATTTGCAGTCTGTAATACACTGCTGTGCACAGGTTAAAAAGAACAATGTTGATTTTAAAAAAACATTGTTTTACCAAGAATAGTTCGCCTTTCATTGCAACATTCATTGATTGCAAAATGTAAAATACATGTATCATAGAAATCTCTTTTTGCATCAACATTACAATATCTTAAGAAGAAGGGGAGCCACTATTAAAACTTGTCTTATAATATCTTACTCCTTGTTTGTGAAGTTTGTGGGTAATGATCTTTCCTCCTACATGTTAATCTATAGCCATAGTGGATTCATGTAACCGTCTGGTATCAAGCAAAATATATACCAACAATGATAAAACCAGAAAACATGTTAATTGGATTTGCTCATAACATGATGTTTGCTATATTTTTATCACTGCTTACACGGCTGCCTTGAAATGTCAAGGGTAACTCTGCTGATCAGATTGATTGATTTGATTGATGAAATCGACATGCTCCTCACAGGGCTCCTGTTTATTGTTTGTGTTATCTTCCCATTGTATTGCATTAAAAGCTGACTTGATTAATTATGTACGTCAACATACAAGCTTTTCATCTATGGCATAGATCAGCGGTAATGACGGGTTGGAGAGGGTCACAGAGAGCATAAATGGTAGAGAGGGGGTAGAGAGGGGGTAGAGAGGGGGTAGAGAGGGAGAGAGAGAGGAGAGAGAGAGAGGGAGAGAGAGAGAGAGAGAGAGAGAGAGAGAGAGAAGAGAGAGAGAAGAGAGAGAGAGAAGAAAGAGAGAAAGAGAGAAAGAGAGAAGAGAGAGAAAGAGAGAAAGAGAGAAGAGAGAAAGAGAGAGAAAGAGAAAAAGAGACAGAAAGACAGAGAGAGAGACAGAGAAAGAGATAGCGAGAAAAAGAGAGACAAAAATAGAGAGAGATAGAGAGAGAGAGAGAGAGAGAGAGAGAGAGAGAGAAAGGGGGAAGGAGGAATTATCTTACAAGAGATGGAAAGGGAAAAGATAGTGTGAGTGTGAGTGGTAGAAAGGGAGAAACAAGAGATACATGTATGACTGAGAGAGAGAACAAAAAACAGAAAGAGATATAAAGAGAAAGAGGTAGAAGAGAGAATGGGAGAGAAAACACTATACACATCAAAATGTAGGGAATTAATCTTTTATGAAAAGCCACTCAAACTCAGAATTTAAATTTTTTTGTTTTGTTGACTACCTAACTAACTAACATCTAAAGTTCTACACAAAGGCAAAAATTGTTTATAAAAGAGACATTTAAATTAAGAAACTAGATTGTATTGTACATTGCTTTATACAAAATATACAAATTGTTAGTTACAAATGCTATAAATGTCCAGTTTAGAATGATATTATAAAGTAAAACTCATTCAAAATAATTACTCATATAAAAATATTAAAAAAAGAAATTTAATACCTTTTTATTTTAGAATAAAGAAATGGTAACATTAAAAATAATACAATATCTGCTAAGGGAACAAGATCCCAAAATATATAAAATAGATCTAGACTCAGTAACAACAAAAAAAAGTAGTCTCTCTTTATTGTTGAAATTTTTTATATACAACATCAATAAAATATAAAGTCAAACAAAAATCAGTATTCTACCAACATTGATTAAGATCAAATTTTGAACTTCCATGCTTGGATGGGCAAATTGGGCATACATGTAACTTGTTAACCGTTAGAATGTCTGATTACGAAAATTGCTAAAAAAGAGCAAGTAGCCATTCAAACGTTAATGAAATGTTAATGCATCTGTGAGACATTCTTGTTCAACAATGAAAACAAACACTGTAGTCTCAAGTTAGGTTATGACAAGCACTGTCAAGATGCCTCTCTTTTCCACTGAAGTTCATGGATGAGCCAAAGGATACCTACATGTACAAAGCTCATCAACATTTGAATGGCCAGATGCCCCATTTCAGCAGTTTTCTTTCAGAGAAGCATTTATTATTAAATGGCTATGCTCACTTATGCATTAAATGGTACGCCAATAAGCCAGTTCATAGTTGCAGTCTGAGCATGAGCAGATAAAGGTCATTGCAGACCAAATTGTAAAATACACAGAGAAAAAATACTGGATAACATGCTCATGAAGTTATGTAATCATTATTAATTTATGTACGAGCAGTGGACTCCATGATACACAGGCAGAAGTATTCTTTGAAAGGGGAAACAAAGGCTATTTATGTAGCACCTCTATCGCTGTAGGAGTGATTATTTCAAAATGTACAAAGTGGGGCCTCTTCATGTTTTGAAGATCTGTGGATATTCAAGGTCATTTGGGACATGTGCTAATCATGAACTGGTCAATTGCATATGATCTTAAAAAGGATTTATTCATGTTTATTTCGATATAATATGAAACGTAGATTCATATTAAAAATTTATTTAAAACATCTTAACAAAAATTGTGTCTACTTCTTTCCTGTTTTGCTGTGTATAGACTTTGCTCACATGCAATAACGGGGTAAACTATTTATAAAGCTGAAAATATCAACAAATAACCACTTTTGTCTAAACAAATAATGGCAAGATATAGAAGAAAATTTCAAAAATTTGGGGCTAACTTCAATGATATTCTCATTTCTCAGTGACTTTAGCACATTGTAGGCCCATACACATAGCAGTGCGCATATGTTTGCACTGGTGCATGAAGTTAACAGGGCATATATCCAGGACACACCGTTTTAGGTCACACATATCAATTTTTCATACATGATACGGTGGAAATATTTCACATCACATGAGCCATCCTTGACCATTCTTTTACATAGGATATAAATGCTCATGGTTCTTCTCCTACTATTAAACAGGCTACTTTAGATTGGAATTGAGAAATCAAATCACATTATTGAATCTTGTTTACCAAAGAATGATATAAAAGATCAAAGTTTCTGACAAAATGTGCTCTTTTATATCTCTAAATTTACCTAAAAAATGAAATCATCATTTGCCTCTTAGCACAGACCAACATTGTGAAATGTAAGCTGTGATAAGAATAACTGCCCCCATTGTTGTTGTTTTATTTGTATTGGCGTGTATCATTCATTTATAAATATTTACGCCGAATTTAAATCGCATTTTAAAAACAAAAGTAAATGGAAGCAGAAGGAGGGGGAAAGCCCCCCCCCCCCCCTCCCTCTTAGCCTCTGCCAAGCCCCTCTGAAAATACAGCATTACAAAATTGTCTAGATGTACATCAGATTTCCTGACTAGATATTGTTTGCTTCTAGTTCACAAATGGCTTTGCAGTATCCCAGGAGAAATTATCATAAGTGGACAAAGCAATTGTTGCACTTGAAACTACACGCACTGACACATTAATCAAATTAATCTTCAATATAGAAACTCTTGTCAGCAAGAATTTGACCTTGGTATTTGCATTTCTGAAGTCCCTTCACACATAGCACGGATAGAGTCACATGTTATTAAACCTTGAACTAAGATGACCAACAGATGGCAGCAAAGCAGAATTTGATTTTCACAGTATGAACTACGTGCATATTTGCTTGATAGTTTTATTTTGATAACTTTTATTATCATCACTTTACCTTGTATTCATTTAAATTTTTAGATTTTTTTGCTGAAGGTAGGAATTTGTTTGTTCAACAAGACAGCTAGAAACATTTTGAGTTGTTTCAGTGGATAATGAGGTTCTCCTGTCAAAATTGGCCAAGAGTCAAGTATTACAATGGGCCATCTTTAAATGTGACATATCAAATCTTGACTGTAAATGAACGTAATTGATTTTAATACATTTAGATGAGTTTAAGCTTTTACATATAATTCTAGAAATATAATCATACACTCACATATAACAATGCCAAGCTACATACAGTGCATAGATCCCCCCCCCCCCCCTCTGTCTCTATCTCTCTCTCTCACTATATATTTGCACATATTACAGCTACTGCTATACATACAGTCACGACCACATTCTCAACTTGTTTACCTCTCTTTGCTCGTTGCTTAGCAATTGCAATCATTCCATGTCTATAAAATAAATTATACCACCAGCACTACCTTTGGTGGCTGAATGCATACAAATCATGAAGCAGACAAAATTTACCTGTTGTACTGAACACATTCAGTGGAAATTTTGTTTGATTCTGTGAAAATCTTTTGTGTTATTACCAGAACACGCAATTACTTTCAACATGAGGTAGTCTGCACAAATAATCCTGAATCAGAAAAACTCTCTACACCATTTCTAACATTTTATCTTCACTTACTTGATCTTCTATGTGGATGATAACAGTCACTTCCTTGCGTTCACTGTCTATTGCATCAACAAAGTTATTTTTATTGAGACGCAACAGTTTGCCAAATCTTGGGCTGCAAAGATAAATCAACAGATCGCTGAAAGTTTACTTTGGAAATACATGGCCAAGGGACACAATGATAGGTTGTAAGATCATCAAAATTACACAAGCACAAGAAACTACAAGTATGCTATAATCATAATTCTGCTTGGCTTAGATTTTCAATGAGGTTCGTATTGCTCTTCTTTTTGTCTATATATATACTATATACACATACCAGTACCTATATTACATCTAAAAGTCATTTGCGTACCTATCATCATGTGATGATATAACATTGAAACTTAAAGAAATATTGATAGTGAAGTTTGACAGGATATTTTGTCATCTGTTTTGCCAAGTTGGTGATAGATTTGTTTCATTGTTCTTTTGTTTGTTTTTTGCTGTCATTATTTTTTTAAAGAATTTACGGTTTAGTTTGGCACATTATTAGACCAACTCAACACCAACCAAGAAATGACAAGATTTTTAGTCGTTATAAGTATGAGGTATTATTATCTTCTTCTTTTTTTCTTTTTTTTGGGGGGGAGATAACTTTTTTAAGTTGTTTTGTTTGATAATCTCTGTCTCATTATACACAGAGTTGTGACATGGAACTTGAAAATGTTTTTTAACTTCTACCTAAACAGGGCTTTACTGATTGAACCTTTACCTATTTTTCTGTATATTCAATATCATCTGATTCATCCTTTCTTCCCTGTATCTCCTCATGAACTCATCTTCCAACATGGATTCTAGTTGAAGCTGATCAAGCTCTTCATCCTCCTTGGCTTTCTCATCATCAAGCTACAAAGGACAATAAAAGCATGGAGGGTAAATATACAGAGTGGATGCAAATGAGTTCATTATACGACCTATCCACACTAGAGCTGAGGCTGTATGAATCTATCAAAATTTCAAAAATCGTTTTCCAACATTTTTTATAACACTACAGTCTATTGGGGAAAACAAGTAGGTATGGTAAAACTGGTCAATCAAAGATTTTTACTTTTTTGAAGCACTGTATGATTATTTTGAAGCGCAATATTTTAGGGCTTCAATATTAAGCAAATAATTACCGTTGGTGAAGGTGATGGGACAAACATTCACTTCCCAGGCGATCGGGATGTAGCTGTTTCCCTCTTTCATCTTTCACCCCCTCCCCTCCCCTATCTTCAATCCTCTTGAGCTTTTTCATTTTCAGCCAGGATCTCTAGCCAAATGGAAATCATTTTCAGAGCAGAGCAAATTGCAGAGTGATGAAGAAAACACATTTGGAAGATACTACTTACATAGGATCGACATGTCATAGACAGTTTTTCAGCCAGGAGTCTCTTTTCTCTATCCTGGTCTCCTCTCTTCTCTGTCTCAAGCTGTTTGAATCTTCTCCAGTCTGCTAATACACCTTTTGGTCCAGTCTGAAATTTTAAAAAAAGGGAAATAAGCCAAGAAACACATAAAATCCATTCTAGCCTTTCTGCCTGGCACATGACAGTTTACCAAGAAATTATTAGATATTATCATTAAAGATAAACTTGAGTTCTGGTAATGCGATTGCATTGTGAAAGAAAAGGTGTGGAAATGGATCAGAAAAGTTGATCATATAGCATGTAAGTAATGGTGTGTAATGCAAGGTTCTGGAGTCATCAAAATCATCATAAATTTGGCAGAGTCTTGGTAAAGTAACAATCACTTACACAGAAAGATGTATATGGGACAACACACATGGTGTCGGGGCTAGTACTACCCTGATTTCCTTATCTTTCTATGCTCATTACTCAGCTAGTATACATTTTTTTCCAAAATTGTTTGGCACATGACATTTATTTGTAATCTTGAACATTAAGTGTAAGTTTCGTTAGATTCTGTGAGAATTCATTTTCTTTTTTACCAGAACTCAAGTTTATCTTTAATTAGCATGAACTTTGTACAATCTACAAAAGATCGCAATAAAAAAGTTGATTTGGGTAACCAAAGCGAGTATCAAGGTTCATAAACTGTCAAACTAATCCAAATAGTCTAGTACATGTACATGATAGCCATGTTTGAGCTCCGGAGGTAGTCTAAAAGAACTTGCGTGAGAGTATTCTAAGCAAACTAATGGGTCAACACTATATGGGCTCCAAGATTCGTTCATTATTATTCATGAGCTTACGTGCGCGCGAGTGCCTGAACATGCAGCTACATGTAAGTTCACGAAGAGTCTACCGGTAGCTAGCTGTGTCTACCTCACAGACAATGATTATTTTTTGCTTTGCCTCACTGGCTATTTATAAGGACAAACAAATCTGAATAAATACTGAGGTTTGAACCCACAACTACAACGTTTTATTACACTGTTCTAACCGATTGAGCTAACCCTGGGTTGATGAAAGGTGGGTTTGCATGATTATTATAATCCCATCACTAACCCGAAACAGCTACCATGTGCGCATGCACAGGTTTGGCTCGCTAGACGTAAGGTCATGAATATTAATGAAAGAATCTTGGAGCCCAAAATGTCTACCACACTAATGCAGCATAGGAGTTCACCTACCCGACTTGCTCCATAACCGCTTGCACTAAGATCTGCTTCTGGAATGAATTCAGCTTCAGGTGATGCAGCACAGTCCTTGTTTTGTTCATCTCCGCTGGATTTATCATCATCGTCTTCCTCCCGCTCATCTTCACTGTCACTGTAGTAGTACTGTGTCTTCTCTCCCAATAGCTTGTCATCTAAAGTAGTCATTATGTTATGGTTTCAACCAACTTCTGCAATGTAAGTAGAGGATACAGACATCAAATGATATCAATCATGATCAATTTATACCATAACAATTAGCTTGAAAGCTTGCCTTTACTCTTTGGTCTACTAAATCAACGGTTGTTGTACAGAGACCATACATAGTGACACAGTGATACATTTCCTGTCTTATTATTTTCTAAAATGTTAGAGCTCTTGTTCAGAAACCTATCCAAAATTTGACCCGTAACGTAGGATCTGAGACATTACGGTAGATGAGCTTCACACAGGCTCGCGCCCGCCCGCAACCACTCCAGCAAAGCATAGAGAGTCAATGCTAATGCGTATTGACCTCTAGCACTGCATGCTTGCTGTGAGGCAGGTATTATTATACCCATACACAAATACACACACCACACAATTTTTCATAGACTGCACACAGTCATGTCGATGCAGCTGTTAAGCAAAGTTCGACACTAAGTCACTAGACTTACAATTTGAATTTTTAAATTATTCTTTTTAACATCAGTAAGTTTAAAAAAAATGTATTTTACTGCTATTTAGGTGTCATCAATTGTCACTAAAGTACCGATTTTGAGTGAAATCAGTTGAGTTTTGTACAGTGGTGTTTGAAATGTTGAGAATCAAAAGCACAGCTTTACTACACAGCCTTGATAGTGATGCTCCTATGTGTGCCCGCAACCCACTATCGGTATATGCACTTGTATTGTGTAGCGGTTTGCCGTGAAACCTGTGAAAAAGTGTTTTCTAATATTAAAGTTTTTCTGAAAAATACTCCCCCCAAAAACAAGAAAATTGACACGAAACACCGAGATAAGAAACATAGGCCTAGGTCTAGAAATCTAATGACTTTTAAATCACGATCTTTATTTGGGGGCCGTTTCTCGAAACCGTCATAACTACAAGATAAACGACATCTCGCCACTGTCACGCAACTTGTCAGCTAAGTGTTTCACGAAGCCGTCTTTGCCAAGATGAGCGACAACTTCCGCGACAATGACTTGTCACTGCTCCGAAACGGTTTATCCACTTCATGACATCTCCGTAGGTCGCCGACAAAGATATGACTGTCATGGAGTTGGTTTCGAGAAATGGCCCCTTGGACATTTGATGAATAGACTTCATCTAGTAGGGTGTCTGATCGCGCACCCGATGTTGTGTGCTAAAATTCTTCCCATAGAGATTACACGCATCCCTATGCAGCCTACGTGCATTGCGCGACCATGCAAAAAAAGTCAATTTTTTTTCTTTCAAATCGAGATTCAAACCTTTATCAGTTGTGATCCTGAAGGTGATAATCAATGAATGAGGTGTCATATGAAAGAGCAGGTGAATTCCAATATTTCCAAAGGGGCGTAGCCCCCGAAATTCTAAAAATATCTTGGTCAAAACAGCAATTTAAACATTGTGTCCAGGCTAACTCTGAGGTTTGTCACTTTTGAGATATGACGCCCCGATCGATAAGTAGTCCCAGTCCTAAGGAACAATTCTATGTGATTATATTTTCGCTAGCCCCCAGGGATCACAACTGATAACAGTTTAAAAATACCCTTCTCGCTATTTGGTGGATCAGCTAATTAGGAGGCGTGCGCTCCGCTCAGTCCAAACCATGGTTACATCGCGTAACATCTCCGCGCACGAACGAAACCCCAAATTCAATTACACATTATAGTGACTGAAATTATGGTTGGCAATTCCCTCGATAAACCCGGAAGTGAATACACGTTATAGTCAATGGCAATATCGCGGAGACAACGTGCGTTGTTGTCTCCGCGATATTGCCATTGACTATAACGTGCATTCACTTCCGGGTTTATTGTGCGACGAACGCCAACCATACTAGTCAATCGCACATGTCGCGGAGACAGCGTAGCTCAAGCTGCAAGTCGTGGATTGGCTTAGCAGCATGCGTACGATATGCATACGCTTGCATATCGCGCGATACAGCTGTTTGGCTAAATTTAGCAAAACAACATCACTCTGCGTGGACGTCTTTTTCGTCGATTTTGACCAAAATGATATGAATATACCAGCGTGTTGGAGGGGCTGTAACTTTTGATAGAAACATCGGTGAGACTTGAAATTTGAAATGTATTATTCTGATAACATTTTTTATTCAAATATCAAACAAAAATGGTGAAAAACGATCCCAAATTGAAAATTGAAAAATCGTTCAGACACCCTACATCTAGATCTAGAAGTTCTAGATCTAGATCTATTTACTTTATTTTTGGTATGTTTTAGTAGGGTTTCTCCACGCCGGAGTTACAGGTCAAATTTTGGATAGGTTTCTGAACAAGCGCCAATATTAGTTGCAAAATTGCGTACATTTTAACAGTATGCAAAGACTCAGCTCAGGTAGGGAGGCCAATGCCCAAATCTAACTTTTTAATTACTAATTTGTTTATACTAAAACTAAGATTAAAAGAAAGCATTTACTTTCACTAAGAAAATCCACCCATCTGCCGACTCCATAGGTTCCATCAAATAGGAGATATCCAGCTGGTTTGTAGCCAATTCCTTCTACGCCTTTCCGTACGTAAGAGCCTTGAAACAATTATATTTCATGTCGCAAAGTTACGTTCATAATTAGACAGGCCCGAGGGACAAAGTTCATGATGAAGTTTAAAACTTCGCGCGAAAGTGCAATCACTCAACAGCGGCTAGCCTTGAATCGGTCGCACACGTACACACCTTCTTCGTCTTAGTTGATCCCTCCACCGACACAGGCAACCCCCGATGCAGGCTGAAGTCCAGCCATCAATGTGCGAACGATTACATCTTCTACTACTACGAGCCGAAGACGATGGTTCAAAAAAGGAAAGAAATATATATAATTCATTGATATTTACCTTTGATGTGTATTCCAATAATTTGATTTCCTCATGAGTATTCCTTATTATCAACGATCGAGAAGTTACGAGGTCCAATTAAAATCCATCTTGCAGCGAACACAATCATAGCGCACATCCATGCATGCAACGTACGTGTACTAATATTTCTCTCACTCTCTCTCTCTCCCTTTCGCTATACGTAACATACACACTCACTAACCATGTATTATACAACACACACCTTCAAATCATGGCTTTCATTTCAATTCTCAATTGGAGTATAGACTGCTCACGTAGACTTTTTTTTTTACTGAAATATCTTTTTTAACACTTCTCATACATTACTGCACGACACTCGTATCTAGTGCTGTGAGAATAAGGTACTAGGGTCTATAAATAAGACTACGCTTTGCGCACGCTCTGACCGGAGCTCAGATTATGTCGCAATACCCTTTATTTCTGGCGCGAACAATGACGTCACTGTTCACTGTTTTCCTTCTCATTTTGAGATGGATGTAGTTATAGGGCTCAAACCAACGCAAGATTGACAGAAACATCGTACTCTATCTACTTTCGAATGTTCAGTTTGTAAAAATCTGTATTTAAAAGATATAATCTTTTTTCTTTATATTTTCTAGTTGTTAGAAGTGGCAATTGTGAACATCTGAAATGTTGATCTCTATCAAAAGTTCTTTACTCAAAACGGATCCCATATTTTTAGGGTCTACCTTCTGCCAATGAGAAGGTTTTTAGTGAGCAAACCTCTACGCCCTCTAGGATTTTCTTAGTCGGTGGTGCGAGTGCGTCAAGGTCGTCTGCAACCACAATTATTGGATTAAAAAACGTCAAAATCTGCAAGATTGTCAACAAATGGTGAAAGACTGTTACAGATCCGTGATTATAGGTAGAGTAAAGGAGCCCGTAATCGGCCAGCTCCCGTTTTCGGCCGATTGGTTGGATGCAAGGTAAAATCACTCTAAAATACATCGCATAATAGCATAACACATATCCCACACATACCATACCATGCCAGTGTCACCGAAGAACCACATTTGCAATGGAAAATATATCCTAAAATATCACATTTTAGCGATGTAATCGCCGGTCCCGCTACCCAAATCTGAAAAATCGAGTATCTTACGCGTGTCTGTAAGAAATATGGGTACCATAAAATGAGCTTTATTTCAAGTATTTTTCAGATTTAAAGCCCGATTTTGTGCTAGTCGCAAGCTCAAAAGTATGTCATCGCATGTATTAAATCAATGCAGCCGCACACCGCGACGCACACACGATATCTCTGTCTAATTCAGATTCCAACTTCCGATCACCGCTGTGCCTGTCTTCGGCCAGGCGAGCACCAGGGAGCTCCGGCGTGGGATACCTGCTCCGCCCGCTTGTGCTGTACATCAGCGCGGAAACGCACGGCGCGCGCGAGCGCTTCCTATTGACTTTGTACATGCGGCCGTAAACTGAAACGCTCGGCCGATAACGGGCTCCAAAACAGTGAAAATTGAAATGAATATTGTCATGGCAATTCGTGATTTTTTTCTGGGATTCTTTTTTTGTTTAAATAATAATAATATTTGCTTCATGATTTGAACAAGAAATGATAATAAATAGGAAGTAAAGAGTCCTAAAAATAGGATTTTGTCTTAAGTGGCCGAAAACGGGCTCCTTTACTCTATGTTGTGAAATGTATAATTGTATTTTCTTTTCATATTTTCTTCAATTTTTATTTTTACATCATTTTTTCCCTTTGCTAATTTTTTGAAGTGGGCGACGAGCGCACAAATCGTAGGTGTAGAAGCCTTACGCCCGGGCATTGGCCTCCCTAGCTCAGGTACATCTGTAGACTGTACATAGCGCGAGTCAATTCACGCCGCTCCCTCCATACATTAATTTCAGTACATGGGACAGCATAGAACATTACTAGAACGGTCGGGTCCAAGATCTAGAGTCTAGATCTAGATCTATAGATCACTGTGAAATAAAATATTTCAAAATATTTAGATATATCTATCCATAATCAATTACAGAGAATAAACAAATAAGAGCAACCCCTACCATGTTATACGTGCTTACCAGTTTATTGATGGTGTTTTCGCCTGCCTTTGTGGAGATACTACTGCAGATTCTAAGTTTTTCAGTATTTACTGCATTTTCTAAAAAGCCCTCTGCGGCGAATTACCATATAGCATATGATTTCGTTTTCTTTCTGTAAAGATCGGTGAATCATTGGTAATCATTTTTAATGTCTTTTTCAGGTTCTTCTCCCATTATTTCTCTTCTTCTTTTCTTCTTTTATTTTATGTATCTCTTTTTTTATTTCTTTCTTAAATACAACCTATACGGAGTAACTCTAGACCACCCCAGAGCAAAATGTGTTTTGCTGTCTTACCATCATGCATCATGCCGAGACAAAAATGAGTCTTTTAACCTAATCACACTCTATCCATAAAACTTTAAAAACCAAAGAAAAAAATAGGGGTTAACTGGGGAAAATTGTTGGGTTTTAAAGGTACTATATTGTCCCATTTGCAGCCAAAATCTAATTCTGTTGGACTTTTGAGGAATTGTGAGTATGTCACGTATTATGTCCTATCTGTGAAATTTAAATCTTCTGTCCTAACATCCAAATTATGCAATGAAACCCATTTACTTTCTAGTCTTCACTGTCAGACACCAGGCGCGGATCCAGGATTTCTTAGGGGGGGGGGGGGCCTCATTTGAAATTATGCGAGCCAAATATTGGTACGTAATGGTGACCAGCAGTGACGTAATGCGGAGGGGGGGGGGGTTGTGCCGGGTGCAGGAAGGGGCGAGTTTCATTAAATTATTAGAGAAAGAAGACGATTCGTTTGTACCGTTCTCGACTCTTAATCCTCTTGTGAATTCAGGTTCCCCCCCCCCCTACCCTCGGCCTCCCGCGCAAAGCGCGGAAGCTTTTAAGTTTCATTAAATTCATTAGAGAAGGAAGACGATTCGTTGTACCGTTTTCGATAATAATCCTCGTCTAAATTAAGTTTTCCCCCCCCCTCCCCGCGCGAGGCGCGGAAGCTCTAACGTTTCATTAAATCATTTGAGAAACAAGACGATTCGTTGTACAGTTCTCGACTCTTAATCCTCGTCTGAATTCAGGTCCACCCCAAGCTCTTAAGTTTCATTAAATCATTAGAGAAAATGAGACGATTCGTTGTACCGTTTTCGATAATAATCCTCGTTTGTCCCCCCCCCCCCCTCCCGCGTTAAGCGCGGAAGCTTTAACGTTTGATTAAATCATTTGAGAAACAAGACGATTCGTTGTACCGTTCTCGACTCTTAATCTTCGTCTGAATTCAATTTCGCCCCCCCCCCCCTCCTCACGCGCGAAGCGCCGATGTTTTTACATTTCATTAAATCATAAGAGAAAAAAGACGATTAGTTGTACAGTTCTCGACTCTTAATCCTCGTCTGAATTCAGGTCCCCCCCCCCCCATTTCAGTTTCATTAAATCATTAGAGAAAGAAGACGATTCGTTGTACCGTTCTAGAAAATAATCCTCGTCCGAATTTTGTTTTCCCTCCCCTCCCGCGCAAAGCGCGGAAGCTTTGACGTTTCATTTAATCATTAGAGAAAGAAGACGATTCGTATTACCATTCTCGACTCTGAATCCTCGTCTGAATTCAGTTTTTCCCCTACCTTTGAGCTTTGACGTTTCATAAGATTATGAGAGAAAGAAGACGATTCGTTGTACCGTTCTTTACTCTTAATCCTTGTCTGAATTTCAAAGATATTCCTTGTCTGCTCTTTTTTCTTCCTACGTCCTCTTCCTTTTCTCTCCTTTTGGCCGGCGATTTTTTGGGGACCGCCCCACCGCCCCCCCCCCCCCCCCCCCCCCCCTTGGCTACACGCCCTCGGACAGAAAAACACATTTTGATTGATACCTTGTCCGACCCCAGAAGCTCAGGGATTTAAGGCAATAAATTATTGTCAGATAAGCATTCAGGGGCCCGCCTTAGGGCCCCTGGGGGGGGGGGATCGAGGTGGTGGAGCCCCCGGAAGCTCAGGGGTTTGAGGCGCTTAATTACGGCCACATGAGCATTTTTTTTATAACTTATTATTTTGTGACACTGGCAGGACACTATTTTTTTCTTTCTTGCTCTATTATTTTTTTCGTTCTCTTTAATATACTTTTTCAAAAAAAGGGGGGGGGGGGGGGGGGTCGAGGCTCCCGATCCCCTCCGTTCCTCGGGCCCTGACATGTAGGAATCTCAAGAATCATATTTCTTGCCTGGCTCACGGTAAATTTAGGAATTTGTCATATTCTAACAAACACATAAACAAGTATAATTTATTAACCCTAATAGGGCCGGGCTATTTGAAGTCTTAGTAGGGCCGGGGGGGGGGGGGGCCATTATGGCCCCCCCTTAAGATCTCGGCCGCAAAGCGGCCGATCGCCGCGAAAATTTGCACGCATGTCAAGTGAAGTGTAAAGAATAATATGATAATTTCAATTTTTTGAAAAATGCACTCATTTGCATATTTATGGTAATTTATGCAAATAAAGTCATAAAAATCACATTTTTACCCATAAATCATATATTATTCATATTTAAGCATTCTTTTTCACTAGATATATTCATTAGACCATTCTGAATAATAATAAGACAAAAAATTTGGAAGAGCCAGCTTATTTCTTATGTTATCCCTTGTTTTGATAATTTCTTATGTATTTCATTGTTTTTTTAACTTATGTATTTCATTGTTTTTGTTGTTTTATTTCATCTTTTACTACAATTCAACTATTTTGACTCCCAAAACAACCACCTAAACTTTAATCAAGACCCAATAACCCATGTTTGATCTGTTTTTAGGAAAAATGACTTTGCCATACGTTTTGTACACAAATCACGAAAATGAGCGATTTTCAGGCTGACATGCAAGGACAAAAGGTCACGTGACCTTGTAACCGTAGGTCCGATTTTCAAAAAAATTATTTTAAAAGTTGCGCAAGGCTTGAAAGAAAAAAGTCAGCGAGCGGCGGGGCGCTATCCATATGCGTTCCCGAGCAATCAGAAAAATTGTGGAGGGGGGGGGGGCCATAATGGCCCCCCCCCGGCCTTATTAGGGTTAAAAGGTGAGGAAAAATCTCGGAGATTATGTAATTTCAGCATTATTGTAATCCACCGTATGGAATTAGAATTAAACCACATTTGAATTTGATTTCCCCTAGCCCCCTTCCCCCTATCAGTACGCCAGTATTTCCTTCTTTCCATTCCCTTTCTTCCTTCTCTCTTATTTTTTTGATTGGGGGGGGGGGGCAACAGCCTGGGAGGCAAGGCCCTTTCAGCCCCACCCCCCGATCTCCTTCTTCCCCCTTTTCTTTTGTTCTTCCTCTCCTTTCTTTCCCTTTCTCTCCTCTTTCCCTTTCCCTTCTTTTCCTTTCTTCCCTCTTTTTTTTGCGGGGGGGGGGGGGGGGCAAGGCCCGCTCGCCCCCTGGATCCGCGCCTGTCAGACACTATCATCACTGACCCATTACCCCCTTTGGTAATAATTAACATGCATGAAATGAGCTAAATTGAGCATTTTTCAAAATCCGATAACTAGGCCTAATTACTGACGAACAAATAAGATATTCAGATGCTTACTCGAAAATCTCCTACTGTACTACGATTACTATACTACTCAGGGGGGGGGGGGTTACATTTATAAATCGGGCCAAAAATTTCACAACGACTCAGTCAGCCGCTGAATAAGCGGGGGGGGGGGGGGGGGGTAAGAGGACACTTTTTTTTTGGGGGGGGGGTCTCGAAATTTGACATTTGGCTCCGTTGGGGGGGGGGGGGGTAAGGTCACCTTTTTAGGTCAGCCATGGGAATATTTTTTTTATTTTTTTATTTTTTTAAATTAAAAAAAAAAATCCAAAGGGGGGGGGGGGGTTTAGGGGGTGATGGGGGGGGGGGGGGTTACACACATAAAAATACCAAAGGGGGGGGGGGTTAACCTCCACCCCCCCCCCCCCCCTGTGTACGCGCCTGATACTACTACTAATACTGTACTACTTCATCAACTTCTTCTTCTTGATTCTTCCTTCCTCTCCCTCCTTCCCTTCCCTCCGATTTTCTAATTCTAATTCATCTTTTTCTTCTTCTCCTTTCCTTCTAACTGGGTAGGGGGTGGTTTAAAAAAAAAAAAAAAAAAACAGAAAATGCAATAAATTTTCAAGAATTTATTGCATTTACCCTGGTCCCCAACATAAAAAAAATCCTCTGGACGGCCAAGCATTATGGCTCGAGGCATGGGCACACAAAAGATTTGTTTATGTTGGGAACCGGGGAAAAATGCTATAAATTATTGAAAATGATTGCATTTTCTGTGTTTTTTTTATTTATGGAAACTGCCCCCCTACTCTAGCCCCCGCTGCGTACAGTCATGGTTCAGTGACAAAGTAATGGCCTCGTAACTGTGAGGCCTCAGGATCAAAACCGTGTCGATGTGCTATATTAGTGCCCTTTTGTGGGGCATTAATCCTCATTACTGTCATTTATGATTTAAGGGCATAGGTCCCCTAGTTGATAAGCATAGTAGCATACACATGCTTTAGCAGTCACGCAAAACACACATTGGCAAATTATTATTCAATAAAATCTGAGAATGTATACTATCATCTAGATCTATTATTTTTAAATTATTTTTAAAATAATTGCATAAATTGGGATAAAAAACATTCCACCTTTATGAGCGACAGTGTATACAGGCCCCGCTAAACGTTTCTCGGCGGGGGTCAAGGGTGGAGCCCCAGAAGCTCAGGGGGTATAGGCATTTAATTGCTGTCAGATGAGCATGTTTTGATACCTTATTAATTTGTGACACTAACAGGACACAAATTGGTGTGGGGTCCAAGGGGAGGATCCTCCTCAAGCTCAGGGGTCTTAAACATTCAATTACCGTCAGATGAGCATATTTTGATGACGTATTTGTGACACCGGCATGACAAAATTTGGTGTTGGCTCGAAGCTCAGGGGGACGGAGCCCCGAAAACTTAGGGGTTCTAGGCATTTAATTACGTTCAGATGAACATATTCCGATACCTCATTTGTGACACTGGCAGGACACTAATTGGCGTGAGGTCCAGGGGGCCGAGACCCCAAAAGCTCAGGAGTTTCAAACTTAAATTACCGTCAGATTAGCATCCAGCCACCCAAGGTGCAGACTCGTAGCCAGAGTTTGATGTTTCGGGGGGGGGGGGCACATACATGTAATCGATCGAGATAAAAAAAAAAGGGGTCTAAAAAAGTTCAACCGATCTTGGAATTTTTTTCTGGGGATCGAGGCACGTGTCTCCCCCCCCCCCCCCCCTACGTGCTACGTGCCTGCCTAGGTGGGGTCCATTATCCATGCAGGAGGCCAGGCGCGGATCCAGGATTTCTAAGGGGAGGGGGGCCCACCTTTTTTTCGTCCTCGAAAATTTTAAAATTTGCACCCCCCCCCCCCCTTGAGCGCCAGGTAAAAATCACGTGTTTTCAGATGATTTTTTTTTCGAAAGGGGGGACCCACGCCCCGCCCCTTCCCTGGCACTGCAGGTGTCAGAGCCACCGAAAGTCAAGGGGTTTTAGGCATTTAATTATTGTCATATGAGCATATTTTGATACCTTATTTGTGGCACTGGTAGGTCACTGGGGTCCAGGGGGCAGATTCCCCGGTAGTTCAGTGCATGCATGGTCAGATGATTTTTTTTTTGGGCCCAGAAAATTGCAAATGATGATGTGCGCGCACAACGCAGCGCGTAGGCAGTGATATCATCATAATTTGCATGGGCGCAATCTTAATTTACGCATAAATACATGACCTCTAGGTCATTGGCTTTGTTTAAAATGGCGCACACAACTGCACCCCTTTAATTTTCTGTTTTTTTTTTGTTTTTTTTTGTTGTGCGTCCAGCCTTCAAGTGCCGCCCGGGGCAAGTGCCCCTCTTTGTACTTACGGTACTTACCCTTTATTTTTATTAGCCCTCCGCCTGCCGAATCATGGAATGTTCCGCCGAAATTGAAGTTCCGCAACTTTCTCTTTTGTGACGTAAACTCAGTCTAGGGTCTATTGTGATTTGTGCAAGTGTATCCAGATTCCAGAAAGTGTATCCAGAAAGACTGCAGCAATTATCAAATGAATTAAGGCGTTCTTTTGACCACGTCATTAACATGATAACGGTAAGGTATATTATAGATTCATTCATATCAATTTAATTCACACAAAGTAACGTTTAGTATACGGTACAGATATACGAACGTCGATTTGCACCTCCACATGTTTGGTGCGAGCCTAGTAGTAGCTGCTCACTTGCGCTGTGCGCTGCGCTGGGGTCCCTGTTGTACTACCGGGTGCATATGGATGCACTGTCGGATGTCACCAGGTCAGTGGTGAATGCTAGGGGCGAAGGCTCCAAGGCCAATTAGGCCAAGCTGCATAGATCTATACCACGTTTTGAGCCTTTCTTTAGGGGGGGGGGGGGGGCGGGGGCTGGGGACTGTGTCGTTTGCCAGATGAACGCAGAAGGCGGCTCTCAAATAATCATGCTACTTATCATGCTATAAATTGTTGTAGTAAAATTAGAAGTTAGGGCCCGGGGGTCTACTACCGAGTACTGTTAGTGTTACTTAGTGTTAGTGTTAGCCATGTTTTTACTTTTTTTAGAAAGTTCAAACAAATAAGACCTTAAAATGAATACAATATCCAGAGAGATTGTATGAACACTTTCTGTTGAGAATGAGAGAAATGACTGGACATTTAACTAATGTTTGTTCAAATTGTTTATTTAAGTTTATTCTCTTTGAAATATTTTCATTGTGTAATCTTCCCATATTGCTGCTTGTAGTTGTACTACTACTAGTACTAGATCTATTTGTAGCCTGACCAATTAAGGCAAAGGTTGCTTTATTGATACGTATGTAGTCTGACCCAGGTGCGGGAAGGGGGGGGGGGTAACGGGCCCAGCCGTCGCCGCCCCCCCCCCCTTGCAAAAAAACTTTTAAAAATTAGATGGTAACATTAATTGTACCTTTTTTAAACAAAAAAGTAAAACAGGCCCCCTACCCCTCCCCTGACTAAAAAATAAGATTCCCCCCCCCCCCTGCTTATTCATCGGCTTCATGATTGGCTGCTAAATATTTCCTCACAAATTAGACAACAACAAAAAAGGTGCTTGATCTCCCAAACTCAATGTAAACGCACCAAACAGGTCCTCAATACACTAATAATACACATGTGGGCAAAAATTTTGTTTTTGTGGAAATCAAATCAATAACTTTGGGTTGCTATAACTTTTTGTTGAAAAGAGATATGAACCTCTCCTTTACACAGGATATTGTCCATGTACATAGACAAATTCCTGAAAAATTATGAAAAAATGCACCTCTCTGATTTTATATGGAAAATAATGGTTTTTGATAAATTTGCGATGTTAATTAATCCCAAACTCATGGTGGTTCAAGGTTCCCTAAATATTATTTACATAATACGCTTTTTTGGACGCCCCCTCCGATTTAGGGATTTTCGCTACAAATTTATTAAAAAAACACCTGAAATATTGTGTATTATGATAAAATCTTTCAAATAAACAAGGTCTGCTTAACTGATGCGGTAGTGGAAGGCATATTTTACATTTACAAAAAACATATTTTACTTTGGCCCTCCGCTTAAATCTGGGGGGGGGGTACTCAAATATTGGGACATACAGGGGTGTGCCACTCTAATGGGTGACTTTTTAACAAAAAAATCCCAAGCATGGGTCCCACTTTTAACAAATATACTATAAATTTAAAAATGGATCTGTTTTTTTCAAAATTGGTAATTTGAAAAACACCTGAAAATTGTGGAAAATGGGTCTTTTTTGTGAGGAAAATGCCCCAAAATGGACCCTAATAATGGGTAGAGATTTTGAGGCTTAAGCGGCACACCCCCGTCCAAACCAAATCTGAGTATCTCCCTCCCCCCCCCCCCCCCCCCCCAACGGGGCTTAAATGCTATTCTTGTTTTATGCCATTGAGTTTGCAATGATTGGGGCCTGTGCAGGTTGTTTGTATTATTGTGAGACTTGAAGTTTAACAATACTTCAATAGGCCTACCCCTTTAAAAACAATCAACAGACTCTTATTGCCTTATAACACAAAACCTATTTGAAGATTAAATAATTAAAGATTTTACACAAGGGAACAGAATTCATGAAACCCCTTCTGCTTCATTTGAAAAATAAAGACGTGGTAGAGAAATATCTTAATATGGGGTCCAGTAAGCTTTACTTAAAATCCATGTATTTTATGAAAAAAATATAAGTCCTTTTCTCTTGCTAATTCAATTACAAGATTTCTTTTGCAATCTATTGGTTATTGTGGGAGCTTAAAACGACTTTAAAGGCTTGTAACAGGTTGACATTAATCAGTTAATGATTTATATTATATTATTATATTATTTTTTCATCTTACAGAATTGTCTGGGTAAAGGACATCACCAGACACAATGGCCAGCTGCAGGCTTGTGGCATCTTCTATTCTGTCTTCCAACCTCCGACCATACCTGGATGGCATACCATGTAGTCACTGGGAAGCAAGGCAATGGATTAAGCAATACCTGAATAAACGCGGGGGCTGGGCAGACTTGAGTACAATATGCACTGCAAGGTCAAGCGGTCCAAGGACAGACAGCTTTCCATGTAGATGTAAGGTCACTGAAGTGATGAGAAGCGCAACCTTCCTGAAGGAATTTCTTGTTAGAGAAAATGTGGTGTGCTTGATGACAGCCTATGAAAGCGGTCTCCGGAAGATGGAACATCTCCTTGAGGAGAAAGGCCCTTTAACAATGAATATACTTCTTAGGAATCTGAGGCAGAAAGTTACAGAAGGTGAGGAAGTGGCCCTTGGAAGAAACAGAAGAGAACTGAAGACCACAATCTGCAACGAGTCAGCCATTTTTGCCAGGGAGCAGTCAACTGGTTTGATAGTGCTACGTGGGGTCCATGCGGTGCTAGATCCCTCCTGTTGTCATTCAGGCATAATAGGATGGATCGAGCAGTATCTTAAGGAGCATGCTGGATGGACTTCCATTGATGATATGGACAAGGTAAGATCGGAGCTTCTGACAAGTAAGTATTCTTGTCAATGTGCCATAAGATCCTTGCTTATGCTTCCTAACATCCGCAAGCATTTCCATGTGCAAGGGAATACTGTCTATGAAAAGTCATATCATCAGTCTGGTCTCCAGAAAGTGACAGATGTTCTAGTGAGGAATGGTCCACAGAAGGTAGATGATTTGCTGCATATGCTGAAAGAAGCAGAGCATCTGTCTGAGAGAGAACTAAGGGCTCTCGGAGACAATAAGAAGGATTTTGCAGAGACCATTTCTAAAGAGCCTCAAATGTTCCAACCGTTATCACAGTCAGGTAGAGTTCACTTGAAAGCTGGTAGTTTCAAGCCCTGCAGACATTATGTCAGGACTGAATGGATTAACAGATACTTGAAGGAACGTGATGAGTGGGTTAGTATTGGAGAGATCACTGCAGCCATTTCTAAAATCCCTACTCATGATGGTGAATGTAGCTGTGACATTTCTACCATACTCCTGGATGACAAGTTACCTTTCCATGTTCAGGGTAATCAAGTTATGTCACAGTCATTGTTTACGTCGAACTATGAAAGAGGCATAAAGAAGATAAAAGTTTTCTTGCAGAAGAACGGCCCTCAACCAGTAGGCATACTACTGAACATGCTCAAACACGAAAAGATAATGACAGCAAATGAAGAGAAAGTGACAGGGCGAAACAAGAAGGAGCTGGCATATACCATTGCCAGAGAGCCCAAGATCTTCAAGTTTGCATCACCTCCAGGCATTGTAATGTTGAGGAATACCCATCATGAAGGCAGTAACCAAGTCACTAAAGTTGTCGAGTATCTAGAGAAGTATCTGAGAACATCCAAGACTAGTTTTGTAAAGACACTTCTAAATCAAGTCGTCAGACATGAGTCTTTGAGTACAGGTTGCATTTCAGGAATGCATTCACTCAGGAAGTTGCTAGCAGCGTACCCAGATCGCTTCCTCATCCATGGTGATGGCAGAGTATCCCTGACAAAGAGTCGTCGAATGGCTCTTAGCGACCCTGCAAAGTCATGCGCAACTAAGAGATATGGAACCTCTGAGAGTGCATCCACATTATCTACAAAGGACATCAGAGTTGGACAGTCTGCTGAGGAGACTGCACAGACAAGAGTACATAGTTCCTTTACTGGAGATATCATCTCCTCCAAGCCATTGGACATCAGTGACAAGAACAATAATCTTGACTCTATTACCAGTAACAAACAAAGGGAGAGTTTTCATGAAGCTTGTAAAAGTGAATCATCAAGAGATCTAGACAGAGGCTTGAGGTTTGTGGAAAAGCTCCTAGAAAGTCATGGACCTATGGTCTTACAAGACATTCACACTTCCATAGTAGCTTCTCACAAACTTGACAGACCTACAAGAAGGACCCTGGGAAGAACTCCGGAGGAACTGCTCTCAATTCTCCTGTTTCAGAAGGATACTTTTCATGTCATCCCGCCAAGTGACCTAGTCGTCTTGCACAAGACGACCCAAATGAGATTGAATCCATGGACAAACTGGTCTGAAGAAAGTAGAGGAATATTTGACAGAAAGTCGTCAACTAAATCGGCTTGTGGATTTCATCAGGGAAAACCTTACAGCAAAAGAGAGGCAAGTGTTTGGGCATACAAAGAAGAAGGTAAAACATACACTTGCCCACTACCAAGACATATTTCTCAATAACAGCGGAACAATTTCCCTCAGATCTGCTCATGGGCAGTCATCCAAAGGTAAAAGGAAAATGCGCAAGAAAAGATCCAGTACACTAGTTAACCAGAGTGAAGGAATGAAAGATGGTGAAGAGATGGATGATGAAAACCCAAGCAAAAAGCCCAGAATGGAGCCCACATTTCCAACAGCAGCGGGTCCTGTGGTTGTGCATGTTGTCCAGACAGCTGAAGAATGGATCCAGGCGTGTCATCCTCTCTTTGAGTCTACCTCATCGGTGGTTGGCATAGATTGTGACAGTAAGTGGTTCGTGATGAGGCAGTGGGACGGTAAGGTGATAGCAACTAAGATTCAGAAGTACGTACCAATGGCATCACCCCCATCAACAGAGACATCTGCGTCAGGTAGTCAGGAACTAGGAGTGCCAACAGTTTTGGAGAGTCCTCCACCACATCCCAAGGACCCGTAGAAGAGTGTAGAGCATCGAGCAAGACAGGAGACATCTTTCACCAGTTATTGCTTCTTCTCACAAGTACAACTATTCTCAAGGTCAGCAAATTCTTACATTGTTTACATTTTCTGTGTCAAATGAATTAGAGAATGATTACAAAATGTTGTCTCAATCAACCAATGAGATATGCATGCACCCATAGGAATGTGGATAAGTCTGATCGGTCATAAAACCAGGCTATCAAACACCATCCTTTCTATGAATGTTTAAAACTAACACCAAATCAAGGTAATCTTTTCACTAGGCAGCAAGAACTCATGCATTTGAATTCACTTTCTACAGAATAATACTCTATCAAATAAGTTCAAGTATGTAGCCAATGAGAAGCGTTTGAAGTGGATCATGCATGCTTGCATTAATTTTTACCATATGCACAGGAGTGCATTTTGGTGAAAACAACTTCTAATTTCTTGACTTTATACTCATATTGTAGACCCATTTTGTAAAACAAATATGTTTTTAGCTCGTGCATTAGTGATATGCACTGCATTTAAAAGTCACAAAGAGACAGACTATAAACTCAACAAGTCTTGTTCATTATCCTACTGTGACTCAACTTGTGGGCAGTGCATATTCACTAATGCACTTGCAAACATGTATTATTTGTATAATACTCATCAAAAAATGGAAAAAAAAAATACTTTTAAAATTCTTTGTCTATCTTGGGTGAAGGTAAATCTTTTCAAACTGTTGAAGGTTCAGTGTGTTCACAATTGTTACAATCTGAAAGTGGCTGTATGGGACCAACTTTGTCATGTGCATGTTTACACCTAGCTTAATAATACATCATGTCACGTTTCGAAGTGCAGCAAGCTTGCCAAAGTTGCGGAAACTAATGATATCCTGTTATGTGTCGACTTGGCAGTGATCCAGTAGAAACAGGAAAAGTACCACAAAATGATAGGGTAGTTTGCTGCTGTCAAATTAGTTTTGTCAAAAGGGGAAAAATTGATGGCTCTCCGACTTTAATGTAAGTTACTGAATGGAGGGAGAAAAAAAATCGAGAAACAAATTGATAAAGTTGGAAAAGAGCTGAAAAAGATATGTTGAGATTGAGTAAAGTTAAGATCACTATGAATGTAGGAATTTGTAATTAGGCAATTTTGAAAGTCATTGTGGTGTATTGTTGGGCAACCTCGTCACCCCCCCCCCCCCCCTCACAAGTCAAATGAATAGAAAACAAACTTTCACCATGTTAAGTAAAGTAGCTGTTGGGCACTGGCTAAATCAGTGGTACTGGTATCCTCTTTCAAACATTCTTAACTTTCTCACTAACAGACTATGTGTCAACATTTCACCAACAAGTGTCAACTGTCACCAACAGGTTTCTCAAATTTTACTTTTAACCTGGATCAACTCGCTTCAAGTTCTGAATCTTACAAAGATCCTGTTCAAAATTACTTGAATAAGCTAATCAAAAGGAGAGAGTCAGAGAAGATATGAAGATGGCTGTAATTAAGTTATATGGACTTTATATTACTGTTAATTATCCTTGTCATTTTACAGGTGGTATTTGATGTCCAAAGGATCTGTGCTATATTGTGTGAGAAGATGCCACTCCGCCTTGATAATGTTTTCGATATCAAGGTGAGTGATAATAACGTTCAAAGGGCCCCGTCTTATAGAGAGCTACGACTCATCCAAATCAATTGTAAGTCCGGCCAATCAATCGCAATTTTACGGTCACCTATCTCGTATGTACGTAGTTGCGATTGATATCAACTCTTTATAAGACATGGCCCAGATATTGCATAATAACCACTCCTTTGTTTGGAATGATGCTAAAACTTTGAGAAATCCTTTATTTTATATTCCAAAGCATCGCATAAAATGGCTCTTCTTCTTTATTTCTTGACCAGTTTCCACCCTTTTTCTTTTATGTGATAAAATGAGTGCTTTGAAGCAGTCACACATACATTTGTACTAATATAATGTTCATTTAGTTAACCAAAGGAAGCCTCGGCAGCATTAATGATGTTTTTTTACAGAGGGCCCTGCAATTATCATTACCCCAGCATTTGCTGGGTACTTTACTTGTAACATATTATATACCTGAATGATTTGTAATGTTCTTTGTATTAATGATCTACATGTATTTATATTCATAATTTACCAATTTCATTGTAATCAATTGAATAATGTTTATAATCATGTTGAACATGTATGTATTATATCAATCCAACCCTTTGGTTGCTACAATTATAAATAGACAACTATATATACCCATGTATGCCTGGATGGAGAGTGGCAAATGCACATTAATGTCAATTTATGCACATTTGATCAATGTTAAAATGTCTACACAAGAGATGAAGAACTCACAATCCCCCTTCTCATATTTTACAGGTGGCGAATCAGCTCATTAGCTGCACATCCCATTGTATACCCGACCCTCCATCATTCACAGAGCTGTGTGAGAAGTACAGCGTGACCCCATCAGCGGTGGTCCATGTGTCCTGTCAGATTCCTGGAGGAGTAGATGCCAGTGATGTGGCAATAATTAAGAACATGGCAGTCATGACCTGTACCCTCATACCACATTTTCTGCACAAGATGTTCAGGTATACTGAAAATTTCAAACTGTTGCAGGATTTAATATTGGTACATTAATTCATAATAATAAGATATTTGTATACCGCAAATTGCAAATTGCCTCCAAGCGGTTTAGAAGAAAATAGATTGTAAGGTCAATGTTTTAAACCTCTGCAGGATTACCTTCAGCCTGAAAACAAGAAGAAAGTACTAAATTTAAGTACTTTTCATGTTAGCAGTGGAAATATGCTTCTGAAATAAATAGATAGACCTTGTTCAAGTACAAGAAAATGCAAGAAAGATCTAGCATTCATTAAAAGATAAACATGATAAACATGTACATGTATACATAAATGATAAATACCCACTCAAAGTCACGTTTAATGGGGAAATCAATAACTAATAAGAGCTGAGGTTTATTTTCACATTATGTTATTTTTTTGCAGAGACATGAAGGTGGAACTTCTCACGGAGCACAATTGCATTGTTGAAGAACTCTGTAAGGCCTGGGGCCCGAGTTTGCAGTCAAGAGGACAACCCACTCAGTTAAGAAGTCCCAAAACATATCCTAACATATCTTCAGTTCGAGAGCAGGGGATGTCCAGCCCGCAACTGCCCAACCCTCATCTTCCTGATCCTCCTGTTCTTTGTGTAGAAGACGATTGCTCTGCTTGGGAAGTAGGTTATGATCCAGGGAGATGTCTTCCAAAGAATCCTAACACAATCTCAGTCCAAGGGCAGGGAATGTCCAGCACGCAACTGCCCAACCCTCATCTTCCTGATCCTCCTGTTCTGTGTGTAGAAGATGAGTGCTCTGCTTGGGAAGCTGGTTATGATCCAGGGAGATGTCTTCCAAAGAATCCTAATACAATCTCAGTCCAAGGGCAGCAGATGTCTTTGACCAGCACCCAGATGCTCAACCCTCGTCTTCCTGATCCTCCTGTTCTGCAAGCTGGAGAGCGCTGTATTCCATGGGATCTGATTCGCGGTCAGGAAGATGTTTTCCTGAGGATGCTTGCACAAATTCAAGCAAAGAACGCAGGTCGTCTTCCAAAGAATCCTAACACAATCTCAGTCCAAGGGCAGGAGATGTCTTTGACCAGAACCCAGATGCCCAACCCTCCTCTTCCTCTTCTCCTCCTCCTATTCTGCAAGCTGGAGAGCGCTGTATTCCATGGGATCTGATTCGCGGTCAGGAAGATGTTTTCCTGAGGATGCTTGCACAAATTCAAGCAAAGAACGCAGGTTGTCTATAACAAGGATGCATGCAGATACCCAACCGTCAGCTCCAAGATCCTCGCGTTCTTCATGTGGAAGAGCTTTGTACGGCCTTGGATTCTGGTATGGGGGTATTCCAGTGTCCCCTCACCCAAAGAGCATCTTTGACTAGCTTGCAGGTGTCCAACCCTGCTCTTTGAGATCCTTGTCCATCACAATAGCATGGAGGGAGAGCCATGTTTGCATTATTTAAGTGATACAGAGAATTTAAGAATTTTTTTATACATTTAGAATGTTAAAAACAAACGAAATGTAGGTGCCCATACTCACAAAAGTGGTAATAATAATAATAATATGTCTTGTTTACCCAGGGTAGCCTCATCAGCATTCATACTGTTCTCCCTGAGGGCCCTGCGATCATATTATTACCCCTGTCGTCGGATTCAGGCATACCCGCACACAATGTATGCACTTTCTCCACTCCCTGGGGAGCATTCCAGCCAGGCGTCATTTTTGACCAAAAAAACTGTGAAAGTAATGTATCTCTTCCTCAATTAGATCTTAATGGACAAAATTGTGAATACTGTAGGTTTCTGAATGAAGGTACAAGCATTTACGATACTATATAAGTTGGTTACTTAAATGATTCCCTTTATGATCTAAGATCCCAAATCATTACCTTAATCTGTTTCCCTCTTTTATTTTTTGTTTGTTGTGTGTGTGTGTGTGTGCGTGTGTGTGTGTGTGGGGGGGGGGGGGGGGGGGGGGGGAGGTATCATCCCTTTCTTTAAACCAGTCCAGCATATGACCACATTATCTTCATATACGGTACATTGAAAATTATTCATTTAGCTTTGAGGCTGCAGTGTTCATTAAACCAGATTTATAGGTTGAGCATACTCCAAACATCATAGATGAGAGATTTTTGTCTGCCTGTTGAAATAAAAGGTTATTCCTAATCTCTGTCTGTTGTAGCTACACGTACTTAACGAGAAGCTTACTCCTTAAGATAACCAGTTAGAGTTCTTGGTATTTGTGGCAATTGTTCAATATCTATCAGCACCACGACGTCTACAAGCACACTGAGAAAAGAGTGAAGGTAGAGGTGAATTCTTGGGATCAGTAATTTTAATTTTTACCTAAAACAGTTTACAGAATGTTTATATGAACCTTGAAAATAACAATTGTTTCACAAAGACAAGGAAAAGAAAGACTTTAAGATTTGCATCATATTTTTCTAATTTGATCATGTTTTGTTTTGTTCAAATAATCGGAAGATACCCTTAAAAATGTTACTGAGTCCAGAGAGTAGCTGATTGTCCGAGGGATAATCTGACATGTCATATTTTAACTGTAACCTTGTAGTAGTAGTGCCTTTTGATATCGAAAGAACCAAGTTATTTTACATTTATTGCTTCTCTTTTTGCTGAGCATTTATTATTATAATATGCTATGCAAAAACCAAAAGAAAATACAAAAAGAAGGGGGGAGAACAATTGCAATAGAACTGAAAAATCTTGAGGAAAAGCTAGAATATATGTATGTTTACATATTAAGTGATTCAAAAGGAATTTATAGAGATGGTTTCAGATTTTGATTTTAATCTTTTAGACATTTTAGTGCAGAAAGTTTTACTCCAAAAAATTAGAAAAGTAAACAACTAAAAATGGTTATTATTTACCAGACAAATGGACACAGAGAGAAAGTGAAAGAGAGAGGGGGGCTGAAGGAGAAGTAAAAGAGGGAGATAGAGAAGAACAGTTATCATTGACATGTTATTCAAACTAAAGTTATCATTTACAGATTTCAATTGATTTTGAAGGAAAAGAATGAAGGGGTGAATAATTTCAGACTTTATAATATTAGAAATAATAAAGTTTGGTAAAAAAAAATTCAGGAAGAAGAAAATTGGAGTGCTAGAAAAAATAATTAGGCACCTCCATCACACAAACAAACATACTTAACTGACCAAAAGGAAGGTTTGTTACATCTATTATGATGATCTTTTTTTTTAAAAGAAATATATATTAAGATAAATTTGAGACTTTCTTGCATCATAAGGGAAACATTGTATATAATGAAGGAGAAATCAGATTGCATTCACATGTCGAAAAAGTCATTTACCTTACGAGAGTGACAGCTATCTTTAATAGCATAGATCGATTTCTTTATGAATACCCTGATTTATTTGAGTTTATGTATTTATAGTACAGTTTCACAGTAGAGATTACATGGTTCATGTATCGTTTTCTATTTATTCTAAAACTGACTTGTCAATGGCATTCTTTGCATCAATGTGTTTGTATTTATGAAAGGATATCTTGTACTTTGTAAGGTTTGTCTTATTAAGCAACTTGTCATGATTGCGACTCAAAAATATTTATTCAGGGGTGTTTTCCAGGTTATTTAAATACATGGATTTCCCCTCCTGCATGATTATATGGAAAAGCTATAGGCTTTACATTGTTTGTTTATGGTTTTGTTTAGTTAATTGTCTCCATTTATGTCCCTGTTCTTGTCTTTATTCTCTTTCAGTTACTTCAGAAATAGAGAATTAGAAACTCATTGTACAGTCATTTAACTCTATGCCCCAGTTTATCAAGTTATCACATAAACAGCACTTTGCTTTTGGTTCAGACCAATAAGCTATGGGTTCAAATTGAGCTTTGTCGTTTTGGTGTGTGATTGGAATTATGTTTTTTTGTTTTATGCACAAGTCATGTGGCTGGTGTTCTAGAGATATCCTTCATGGAATCTCAGTATGTACTAACTCCTAATGAGAATTTAGAAATGGGCAAAAGTACATACACATAATTATTACTGACTGATTTGATTGCATGCGTATCCAAACAAAACTGCAAATCTATCAAAGAGTTTGTTTGAAGAAGGTAACGCGAATCGTATCCAATTCTTTGTTCAAGTGAATTCTGTGCAAGAAAAATAAAGTTGTTTACGATTTTTAAAGGTAAATTTGTTATTTTTTAAAATTTCATTAATTTTCATTTTTGCCTGAAAAATGAGTGTGGGAAAGATAGAGAGAGAGAGAGATATGAGGGGGGGGGGCGGGGGGCAATGGAGAGATTGGGAGAGAAAGTGAGAGAAAATCTGGGTGTCTTTATTTTCTAAGGACGTGATCAATTATACATCGCCATAACGAAAATTTATATATAAAGCTAAAGAAAATATGTGTAGGCATTCAGACTAGCTAGCAGGCGACGCTTTGGCATTTAGTATGCTGCCCTCTCGACTGCATACTGCAACAGTACAGTATGGATGGGAGAAGATAATTGCAGCTAATCGAGTTCATCATCGATCGTTTTGATATGATTAGCAATTAAGTAAAAACTTAATTTGCTGTGCCACAATGCTAAGTAGTCGGGCTTTGTGTTTGACTCTCTGGGTAAACGTTTAAACAGGGTTACCAAAATCAATTTCAAGAGGCGCTTAGTTTGTGTTAAAAGTTGAATGATATGTTTCATTGACATGTTCAAGTTAAGTGATAATTTTATTCATTAATTCATCATCTCGATGTTTGCTAAAAACTGAAAAAACAACGCCAATGATTGTATTTGTAATCGGTCCCTTTAGCAATCACCTTCATGTTACCCCAATAGATGCCACTTAGGTGAATAATAATAATAATTGTATATATTGTAATAAAAAAAATAGTAATACTACCGATACCAAAGAAAGGGAATAAATGCTGCTGATGCCGATGGTGACGATGATGATAAGGCCTTTAAAACAAAAAGATGTTGTATTGCCCTTTGCGACCGACCCCAAAATCTTGAAATCTACGGTCAGCTTTTAAAAAAAAAAATATTTTGGCACCTCAAGGGAAATGCAACATTTAAAAAAAAGGCCTAACAATGATGAATGATGACGAAGTTATGATGATGCAGTTATATAGAACTGTGTATTTAATACGCATGCATGCTTAATACTATTTTCCCTTCTTTGGATATGTGCATGGGATCACACTAAACAGACAGACAAACATGTGGCATATAAGAGAGATAATAGAAGAGAAACAGGAGAGAGAGAGGGAGAGAGAGAGAGAGAGAGAAAGAGAATACCAGGCGGAAAATGCGCAGTATTAAAAAGATGATTGTGATAGATTGAATACAGATATTTTGATGAGAGCTTTCCCTGGTAATCTTCTTGTTTGGGGATTTTACGACCTTCTACCGACTACGAGATATATATATATATATATATAATATGAACTGCTATATGCGACAGATCAAAGAATGCACGTTCACAGGGCGTTCAGTGTGGCGCTCTTCTCACAGCTCTTCGTCAAATTCGCACGCCAGCAAAGTAAACACACCATTCGCCTTTCAGTACATACAGTCATTGTTCGTTTCGTATCCAGATTCAGAACAACAGGTTATGCGGTACACTGCAAGTGGTACCAATATTTTGTCGCCATCTGGTTTTGCATTGCTGTAACAATCTAGGGCACACGACATCTACTCAAGATGGCAAACGAACAAACGAAGGAAGAGACTTATGCTTACTACTACCACACAAATTACATCAGAAATGCCCGCGCCATCGCGATCGCCTGGGCCATTTTTACTCTATGTTTCTTCATCATAGTCCTGGTGGTTTTTGTGCAGCCATACTGGCTCGGTGATGGACCCAATGCCAATGGAATAGGGAACTTTGGACTGTACCGATACTGCACGAGCTACGGTACGACGGGGGCTCAGCCCTCATGCGAAGGAGGGGTGTTTGGCTTCGCCGGTGTAAGAGGGGCCGATGGGGAAGTCGTCCCCGCTATGGTGGCAGCGACTGTCTTCGTGGGAATTGCTGTTATTTTGGTGGCCTTATCCATTGTGTCCATGCTCCTTTTTCTCTGCAAAAGCCCCCTAAAAACGGGAACTGTATTCGCCATTTGCGGAGCTTTCCAGTTACTTTCAGGTATAGTATAGTAACATTATTTTTGCAATAGTCCCCCCAGTTTTTTTGGGGGTACATATTGGCTTTCATTTATATCAAATGATGATGTATAATAGATGTATTATATGAACGATGTATTGGAATTGGCCTATATCATATGCCTACAGTGTAGGCCTACACGGCTACAAGTACTGTACTCATATCATTCGATAATAATGAGAAATATATAAATCTTTTAATATCTGCATCTGCATCTTCTGTGACGTACATGCAATCACCAGCATCTGGGGTCGCGTACGTTGGGTTTGGGTCAAAATGCTAAACGCGCCTAAATATTGAAATGTGCTTCGCGGCTACAAGTCTAGTGAGTCCAATTGAGTTTAAAAGCTTCACATCGGTGAGCTTTTATAAATTCATCAAATATAAGGGCACTTTTCAAATGTAATGTAAAGTCGATCACCATAGTCTCAGGAACTAAATCTGCAGTCTTATTCTAACTATTCAAGATAGAGCAATTTTCAAATGGATGATGCTATTAGAGAAGTGGCCATAAATGTTACTCCATTAATGAAAAGATAAACCTACTTTATGTTGGATGTTGAATTTAGCTGAACATGCATGTGCAGATCAATGTATTTGTTTGTTTTGTGTAGAAGAAACGTTTCATTGTTTGAGAAAGAAGATAAATTAAAATATTTCTCTGACATATAAACATGTACAATGTAATACCTTAAACATAATACAGGTTTGTATATTTATTCTGTGTGGTATAGTAAAAAGTTTTGTAATTTTTTTTAAATGAAAAAAACAACAGTTTGTAAATGCAAAAGAGGCACTACAAATTCAAAGGGAAAAAAAAAATGCTCCTTACTCCCAAATCTCAGCTAGTAAAAGGGTAGTAAAATAAACGAGTAGGGCCATTATACACTTGCAACATTCACCAAAAAATACCAACAAGGAAGTGACCACCAACTTCAAGTATATTTTTTGTTAATATTTAACATTGATCAATGCATGACCCAGGTTTTCAAATGTTTTTATGTCTATGCATGTATCTTCTAAATCACAGGATTACATTCAAGAGTTTAGCATGCATGGTCTACATGTACATGTATATCTCCAAATCCCTAATTAAAGACCTTCAACTGGAAAATTTGTATAGTTTGGTCCTGTTCAGAGTAGTTAATTGGGGACTAATTACCTTTGAGCATTAAACTGATTTTGGGATGTAATGGTTTGACAATTCAAATGATTCTGAATACTCATTCATTGAAAAAGACATCAATCCTAAGTTAAATTTTTCTTTTGAAGTTACATGTACACACAAATATATCCAAGTGATTATGCTTATGTATTGACATAGATTGATGTTTTGATCGTTCTCACTTATTATATTACTTTTAATTTATCTTGGCAATATAAATTATGCTTGTAAATGTATAATATGCTGCTTTGAAAAATAATAGGCATGTTTACAAAGCAGTATAGAAGGTTGATATCTTATAAACATTCTTTTGAATGTCTACCAATTGTTGTCACTGTCCGAATTTGTGTACATTATTATGTAAATGGTGTACTTCATCTGGATCATTTCAGGAATCTCATTAGAATTGACATTTATTGCAAACCTGATAACATCTTATCCTTGTTCAATCATGGCTATGGGAGTTGGTAACCATGGATACGAGATGCAGGGAAAATAATCAGGCCATTGAATTTCATGATGTGGGAGTTTGTATTGTGAAAAGAGCATCATACTAAAGCGAGAGAGAGAGAGAACATTGCCTGCATGCGACCATCTGTCCCTTAATGTTCTCGCAATAATTTTTCAAATTGACGGTACTCTCACTAAACTAATGGGCTTAGTATAATAGCCAGCAATAATCAGTAAATGAATTAGTGAGTGAGGGCGTAATGCGAATACATTAATCATAAATTGTTTGCACCATTTTTTTGTTAAAGTGATCTGATCATCTGAGTGATCATGTATAATTTACATACATGTATGTAGGTTTCATAGAAATAGAGGCAACAATATGGTTAACATGTGTAGGCCTATTTAAGTTGTTTTTCTTCATGTAATGTATGGAAATATATCAGCTTAACTGTACTGATTATGACACTTTATCCTTTATTCCTTTCTGTGTTGAATTGGTAAGGCCTACAGTATCTAACTGTTTCTGTACATTTATGATCTGCCAATCTGAATTAATGTCAGTATTATTTTTATCATTAAGACAAATAATAAAGCGGTACCACCTGTTGTCCATTACAGTAGGAGCTTATCAATGAAATTGTAAGAAAGTAAAGCAAAGAGGAGCTTCAAGAGTATTGGTATTACAATATTATGTCTGAGCTCCAAATCGCTCCGGAAAAATCACACACTTTACAAGAAAATCTGTATATTTCTTGATGGAAAATCTGTAAAGAGCAAAGTCAGGCCTCTTCTGAAGTTAGAACTGCATTTTTAAAGATTTCATTTTGATTGTTGAATGATTTGTTTTTCTTGTCCAATTTCTATCCTATCTTTAAACTTGTTTTTTCTCTTTACGTTTTTTTTGTTAAGCCGAAATTCAGGTTCAAGGTCAGGTTTCTATCGGGCTGGCTGATATACTGTACATGTTTTAAACAGTCCAATAAATTCACGTTGAATTGAAACCAGCTGCTTTATGATCCTAGTTGTTTTAGAGGATAGCATGATAGATTACAATGCTTCACACAAATGGTACTTTACTGAATAAGCAATATTGAATAAGCAATATTGAATATTCACAAGTAAAGATTATTATATTGAATTTTGATTGGGGGGGGGGCAGTTCTTCACTGTAAAATCATGGTAAATACATTTAACTTAGATGTTCACTCTGAATGTGCTGTAAGAGAATGAACAAATTGTGCATCACAACCAAAAGTCTAATACTTGTTTCCATTGCTAGTTTATATTTTTGCTCTTGTTTTGTTTTATCCATTGTAATATTTTACCATTTGTTTCTTGTTCTACATTGTAATTTAACTGTAATGTAATAAGGGCTCTCTAGCTTGCAAAGCGTTTTTTTAAAATCTACTAAAGAGGCTACCCTCCATGAAGAACACATTATTAATTAACAAATCAAAAAAAACATTTGTAGTAAAATGTTTACCTTTTACCGTTTTATCTTTCTAGGTATCTGCCTTTTGCTTGGAATTCTGATATACCCCAGCGGTTGGAGCCAACACTCTGCCTACAAAGCGCTCTGTCAGGACACCATCAGTTACACCGACACCAAAGGCTGTGAGCTGCGATGGGTCTTCTTTCTTGCAATCATCGCTGTCTTTGATGCTTTCATCTTGGCCATTCTCGCCTTCATACTGGCCAGTAAGCAAGGCAAGCTCTACATGGACATGCACTTCTCGGACTACTACAAGAATGGCAAAAGTAAGTTGTCCTGTCTTCTGTTTGAGAGATGTACTTAGTAGGCCTATGTAGAAGACACTTTTGGAACTGATGGTACACTGAAAATTTTGTTGGTGTTATTATGAACCAATGAATTTGTCATTGCTGTACCGATTTGTTGGTTCATAATATCGATGACGAATTGCTCCTGCATATGTAGGCCTTATTTCATAAATACAGTGGAGGTAGATTTATTGGTTTTTAGATTAGGATTAGGGTTAGGGCAAGTGTTTGGTCCATGGTTGAAATAACAAAGAATCTTAGTGCGGGACCTGGACCGCTGAGGACTTGATAGGTCTTGTGAGGTGAAAGAATATGGTTTTACAGACCAGAGAATAGAGTAGAGGAAAAAAGCAGCTCAAGAATACTCAAAAAGAGCTGTGTATAAAAACTGTTACGAGTGCTAAAACAATTTTGCAGTGAACTTTTACACATTTTTGTTTTTGTCTTCAGAAAATCATGTGAAAAAGGTAGGTTTAAACATATCATGTGCTGAAAGACAGAAGGGTGTAACTTGAATCCTTTCTGTATACATCTTTTAGATACCTCTTAGGGCACACATAAATGTAGTTCAATGAGTAATGAGCATTGCATTTTTATATTTCTTTAGCAGGTAATGGAGTTCACCCCAAGCCAAAGAAGCACGGCACAGTCAATTCCACTATCTTCAACACCTACCCTGCCGTCCGAGAGAACAACCGACCCCGCATCAATGGATCCGCAGCCAATGGAACTGCAGGCAGAGGAGACAACACAGATGGCAGCAGCACCATCCCGAGAGTCGAAGATGACGTGTATGCCCAGGTAAGGCCACGATCGGTTCGTGAGGCAGAGAGCCACGGGGCTGCCGATGACGAGTTCTCGAGTACCACCCGCAGCTCCAAGAGCACCGGGAAGTCGACCCGGAAGTCCAACAATCGAGAGCACGATGTCTCGGTCTGAAAGTCGGTATTGATCTTTGGGCTACAAGAGCATGCGGAATGTAGGTTGTAGCAAATCATATGTGCTAGGTGTATATAACACTGGTTTAGTATCTTCCATGGATGTGTGCCTATGATACCAGCGACTATGGTCATCTGAATGGGGTGGTCGGTGTGGCGGGGAAGAGGGTGAAATGTGCTATGTCTAGTGTTCTTCCAAGAATGTGCATCGGATGATCCAGCCAGAACATTACAAAATACGTGAACAAATATTAAAAATATAATGAAGTTCCGCTTTTAAAAATTCCATCTGCCTTTTAAATTTCATATTGGATTCATTTGATACACTTAGATATATCTGTTCCTAAATCACATGACTTTAGGAATCTTTGTCACTATGATGTGGAATATCCATTGTTTCCTGTACACTTAAACAAAAATGTATTCTACAACAAAAATTCAAAGAGTCTTCAACTTCACTGTGTCAGGATTGGTTTTTGTTGAGAAGAGGCAGCTCCAATTCTTAATTTCCTTGTGTAATATACTTAAACATCAACTACTAAAAGTGGAAGAAGAAATGGCTGCAATTGAAATGTGTGATCGATTTTTATATTCAGTTGTTTAGTGCATCAAATGTATGTATATTTATGTTTTTAATTATGTGTCTTATAGCGTTAAAAATGGATTGGACTCCTATGTTGTCTCTGGCAGCCAGCAGGTAACCGTAAAAATAATTTAATCACCCATTTATTATTTTGTAGTTTAGTCAAGCACTGCTTTGTAGTTATAAATTGCAAGTAAGCTCTAGTTACTTTACATATACATAGCCAGAAAACTTTTAAATGAAGAATAAGGGATTATAACAAGGATTATTACTTTAATCAAAATCAAGAAGGAAAATGTGAACAAATGACTACAATCTTTGTAGTTTATGTGCATGATTCCTCATGCTTTACCTTAAGCAACAAACATTTATGTGCCTTTAATGATGAGCTGACTTATTGCAATCAACAGAATTGTAAATTTGATAGGCAGCCTAAAACATTTTTTGCACATACATGTATATAAAGAAGAGTATGGTATATGTAGCCAAAATACAAAGAAATCTCAAAAGACATTCAGTAAGTTTTGTAATGTATCATTGATTCTCAAATTCATGAAAGGACCTTTAATCTTATTTATTTAGAATTTACAATTGTGCAGTGAATCGATGATGCATGATTCTTAAAGGTAGTGGGAAAGGGTATGCAAAGTATGGTCTTTATCAAGTTTATTGCACATGTGGAATTGATCAAGTAGAAAACAAATAGGAAAGAAATTTTCCATTGAGGAATTTCATTCATGTATGCATGAGATATTGTATATCAGCAGAACTTCTGAAATAGATGCATGTGCACTGCAGGGTGTTTCTATGAATATTAGTCCTTAAAAAGCCTGTTATGATAATCAATGTTGCATGCCATACTAGAACCCATTATTTTTTCATGATTATTCATTATCTATATTCATCTGCCCATTACAAGTGACTAAAACTAAGTGTACATGTACAGTAAATGCATTAAAGATATACATGTAATCATTGCTTATAGTGATTAAAACAATAATTGTGTTCAAATGTCAACTAGAGCAAGTGAGCAACTGATTTTTATAACATGTGTAAGCTTTCTTAGAAAGTATGACATTTAGTCAAATTAATGCAAAGTGCAAATTGCTCGCTACTTACACTAGGTAAGTGCTTATATTCATATTCATATTCATATTTATTTCATTTCAACAGAAAGGTAAACAAAGAATTACATTTGATTTCATACATAATTCATTTTTAGCTATACAAATAAACTTGGCACATAATAAAATTATTACAAGTTCTTAATTTCTGAGGAAATGGGATCCACTAAAAGCAGTGCTTGTAGGTTGTGATCCCCAGGTATAAAGGTATCCTGCATTTATTATTTAAATGGAAGTTATTGATATGATATGACCATACTTTGTGCATGGGTTTGCTTTTAAATATTTTAGTAAAAGTTATTGATATGATATATGATCAAACTTTACAATTGTGTTTGCCATTAAAGATAAAGTTGAGCACTGGTTTTGCATTTAACATCGTACAAAAAACTGTATTGAATCAATTGGGTAAAAGTTGATTATGTAGTTAATAATAATAAAGTATACAGGTAGGTTTTTGAATGATCATGATGAAAAGAAATCTACACTGCTCGTTGAAAACCTCTCACATAAATAAACATTCGGGAGTCTACACCCAAATGACTTGGGTCCAAACTCGTCAGCTATTTTTCATCATATTTCTGATAAGAGGGCACTTGCCTACTATGATATTCTTTCTTCCAAACTGACATGTTAAGAAAATAAATATGTTCACAAAAATTTTAGAAATTTTTACCAGGACTCAACTTTGTCTTTAATCTGTGTAAACTAAATTACTGCAACAGGTGGAATTTACAGGTTGATTATGACCTGTCGTAGAATGACGTGGCCGCTTTTACTCAGAATTGTTATTACTCAAACATGGGAAAAGAACATTTGGATTTCTGTTAATCCAGTAGGGCTATATACACATTCATTGAATGGCAATTCAATGTCATTTAATTGTCAATAATCATTCACTATCTTAATGATTAATTAGTATGTGTAATTCATTAAGTCTTTTCATGAAAAAAACGCATGTACATGTATTTCACTGTTCTTATCTTAAAATGACAAATTAATTATAATGTCCATGTGTATGTCGATTTCCAATGATGATTAATTTTACCAGAAGTGCGAAGTGAGAAAAAAAATTGATCTACATCAATCTGAGAAAGTGTTGAGGTCATCCACGGAGCTTCTATTGTAGTACACAATTAATACATTTTTTCTAATAATGATATTACATGTGTAATGTACAATTCTTTCTCCAAGATTACGGCTGACAACCCTTAAACTCATGATTGGTCAACTGATGTCATGTGACTCATGTCAGCAGAACGGATTCCTGATCGTATGTACTGTAGATGTGATTTGGAGAAGAGAAAGAAAATTGAACATTTTTCACAACTTCTCTCTCAGAGGACATGAAAATTACGTGAGATGACGTCGAATATGCAAAGATGATTTAAAAATAACAGTAGAATTTGTGGAGGGTGCAGTTTGCTTCTAGTCTTCAATTTATATGCTTGCCAGGTGTATACACTACACATGTAATAAAATAAGTGTTATATTGTTCAGAGAAAGGCAAGTTCAAAGTATTTGACAATTGGAGTCCCATACGTTACCGAGTTCTGACCATAAATTGACATCAAATTAGTCGTTTCACTTCATATTAAATATTGTTACATGTTAGATATATAAGTAACGTATGGGACAAAATAGCTCAGACTTGTTCTAAGAAAAACAGATCAGTTTTTATCTTATTCCTTCATGATCAAAGTTGTTTTTAAAAAAAGGATGATGAATTATAATATTTTTGGGAATGTTGCTGAAATTGTATAAAGATGATATATCACATACAGTATGCATAGGTAATATAGGACTATGTAGATCTTATGAATCAGATATGGAGTACTTAAGATATGTCTATTTTAGTATTAATCTGTATATACTGAGCACGTTCGTATTATTACTAATCTTTAATTGTTTTCTCATTCTTTGTAGACCTATTCCGACTCTTTTGTACTCTACGACTCTTTTGCAACTCAGATTTTTCCTCTTTTATTATTGAATACTTGTGTATATTGTTGTTTTATTTTGCTTTCCCGAATATACGAAAACTATATATTTTCTTTAATACCCAGACGTTCCTTGCTTTGAATGAAAGAAAACGAACGTGTGTTTTTTTTAATGGCTATTTTTATACAATTATTAAAAAGTGTAGTAAATGGTTAATAAATGTACGTGTATAAGCTAATTTCTTCCCTTTTATGCTGAGAGTTTTCCTCCCCAAATTTGCGGTATAATTTAAACGAGGAACGATTTATGTTCACTTTAAACAACAACTCTCAGGTTTGGACTTTAATTGCCTTATCTGTGATTACATGTATGTTTGAGTATATATTGCACGAAGACCCCGTCAATTCATAATCTCGATGAAATTTAAGAGGGGTTATTAAGAACAAAGGTTGGTTCCAAACAGTGTCCGCCTATTTACAATGATTTAGCAAATGATTACGGAAGTTAAACAATGATGAGAGATATCAAATTGAATGTATATCGTTTGATTTTATCTATTATTTGCTTCGACTGGGGGAAACCCAGCAAGTTGAGAAGAAAGAATAAGGATGTAGTCAAGAATTTCAAGACAATGCATGCATGGGATGACGGTTTTGTTACCCAGATTAAAGTTTGTTTCATTAAATGCAATATAGGCGTATTAGGTTGTGCCGAAATTTGAAAACGCCACAATATTCGGTATTGATAAAAAAAATAAAAAAATACTAGGACGATTTAGCGTGAAAAAAAATGTCTTTGTAGATTTTTTTTTGCAGGGGGAGAGGGGGGGGGGGTGGGGGGGATAACATTCCAGATTTTCTTTCTCCTTCATTCTTTCGTATGTGATAAAGTCTGATAGACCCGTGCCCAAGTTACCCTTTAATATAAAGCTGTATATACTTAATCAAACAAGGCGTACATTCGTACATGCCGTGTTTCAACTGAATGTCTAAAAGCTCACAGTTCAATTATTGTGTAAATAATTCATAAACCTATGTAAAGTTCAGTTATATTCAGTTTTTATTCGTTTTACTGCATTTGGATAATATGAACCCTGTACACCTATACAAACATGTATAACCTCACCCATAATGTACTGGTATGTCGTCTCAGAAAGAAAAAATGGCGACCGGTATTCTAACATGCCATACATTTTTTTAAAGGTTTATATAATTTCAGCACCCCCTTTTAACATCGACACGCTTGTACTTATTTGATACACAATAATGATGTACATGTATAAATATATATTTATCAACTAGATTATTTAGGAATAAAAAAAATACTTGCTTTGTAAAATTTGTCTTTAATGCGTTTTTATGTTATATGTGTAAATATTGACTTTCGAGTGTCTTGATGTGCCAACTGGAACAATGTACTATATATAGATTCTCCAATTCAATCCTCAACAAATCGTGCCACATTTTACTAGTATTTTCTACCAATTATGACGCTCTATAGCATGGACCATGCATTGTGAACAGCTGCAGTATTCTGTCTCTCTCTCTCGAAGTATTCTGCTTTCTATTTTTATTTATTCTGTTTCAAGCTGTATCAGGGACTTTCAGTTCTACCAACTATTGTCGTTAACCGCAATAAGTCAGAAATTGTCAAAGAGCTATTGTTGTTTTGTCAATGTCGAGACTTTTGGACAAAGCGAGCCTTATGGGGCGAATTTTTCATTATTTCGAACGTGGGTTACTGTGCCAGATTTCAATGCCCCTTTTCTTCTGA